CAATAACACGAGTTGGCAGTGGTTTTGTGGAAATGTTGTGTTGCCGAACAAAGGCTTCGTCAATGATAGAATCTGTGCATCCTGAATCTATCAAAACTGGTATGACATGCGTCTGGTGATCGTCGATAGTGGATAATTGACATTGTAGCGAGAGTTTGCGTTGATGAGATGGGGGGAGGGATGCGAAGTCTTTGATCACATTCAATTGCTCTACGATATACTGTTCATTGTGTTGCTTGAGTAAATTGATTGTATCCGTCGTGATGTGTGGGTAACACTGGGGTGAGGCCCAGTTCCGAACCAATGCTTTGGCTCTTTCTTCTCTCTGGTCTTTAATTCGTCGAGCCAACCATTCCGCTGAATGTGGCTTAGCGTATTTCTCGGCACGTGGGTTTTGGGAAACATGTTTCGATTTATCAGTTACAAATACATTTTCCGAACCAAGCTTACTGGTCAGAGAGTCCGTGCTTACTCCTGACCTTCGAGAAAATCCTTCGTCTTTGTCTCCTCCTGGGTTGTGGTTGCTTCTCTAGCTGCAACTTTCTTCAGAGGGCAGTTCCTTGCAATATGACCCGGCTGGCCACATCCGTAACATAATCTGAACCGACTCTGTCGGTCCGTATCCATGGGTACACCTTGTCCGGGGAATACACCTCTCTGAGGTTGATCCTCGAACCTTCTTGCATACTGATTCGTCTGGGGTCTCGCCATCTGCTGTGGCTGCGGCTGTTGCACATGCTGGTGCGTATACGTCTGTTGTCTGTAGATAGGTCGCGACGGCTGCGTGACTTCTCTCTTTCGTCTTTCGTCTAACTGAAACTCTTCTCTTCGTGCCTCCCATGCGTAGGCTTGCGTTTTCCACTCAGCAAATGTTTTTGGTAGGTCTCTCTGGATGATGACGAAATCACAGATTCGAGAGTGAAGATTCTTTTTGAGAATTTGATTGATCACGTCGAAGTGAGTGGTAGTGTCATATCCGGCCTTGTCCATGAGCGTTGTGAAATGGCTAAAGAATTCGTCGCAATGCTTATTCTCCTGCTTGTATGTCTCAATCTCGTTTACCGCCTGTGATCTTTCGTTTGGATTCCCGAATACTTGGGCTAGATCGGTTAGGACGGTCGAGAGAGTCGGCCATACGGGGGTAGTTGCGTCGAGAGCTTTGGTAAGCACGTTCTCTTTCCAAGCTTTGGTAAGCACGTTCTCTTTCCAAGCTTTGGTAAGCACGTTCTCTTTCCAAGCTTTTACTGTCGACGTTCCTTGGTCGCTGATTTTGGACAGGAGGTAGATGAGCTTTGTCTTCTCGTCTGGAAAGTAGGATGCGTAGGCGGTTAAGTACAACTGTAGTGCTTGGCGCCATGCTATGAATCGTTCCTTCTCTCCTTTGAATTCGAAGGGTTCTGCTGCGAGTGTTACTTTGCCGTGTAACTGCGTGGGGTTAGACATGGATGAGGGTTTTGGAGGAATTGGAGGTGGAGGTGGGCGTGTAGGCGGTAGCGGTAGGGTTTGTCTGGGTGGAGTCTCTGGTTCTATGGACGGTCTTGGGTTTCGATATTCAGAAAACACTTTGAAGGATTGAAACGAGGTTTATTTAGTTTGAATCATAATCAAATTCGTCACTCCAATCGTTAGAAGTAAATCCAAAAATATTCTCTTCTTCTTCCAAATCTCTTTCTACCTGTGAGCTAGTGGTAGAATTACTGTCCAAGTTCGAGGTTGCTTCGTCTGGTGAGGGGGTTCTTTCTATAAGAACGTTTCCTTGGATCAACGAGGAGACGGGAGGAATATAAGAGAAATTTCCGTGGGTCAGATGGTACCCTGGTTTGTACTGCGAGTAGACTCTGTTGTTTTCTCGAATAAGTACTCCCCAGAACTCGGTGTTGATTTCGGTAACGATGAAACGATCTGTGGGGTGGCGGATGACTAAATCAAAAACTTCTTTCCCGTAGTTTTGGTATTCTCTGAACAATCGACAGACGTTCCTGATCTGTCTTTGTTCCCTTTCCCAATTTCTTCCTTCGAGGATTTCGTGTCCTATCTTAAATACTAGTCTGCGAAATTGCGATATGCAGGCTACTATCCTTCGTATTGCGTCGCGGCAGAAAGGGGTGACAACTAATACGTGGACTCCTGTTTTAAGATAGTCTCGTGGGTTGAAGGCGTCGTTCTGTTCGGGAGTGAGGGGGACGTCAAAGAAGAATGGTATTTCCCGATAGAACTTGATGAGATCGGTTTCGTAAATTCCAATTCTTGTAAAAAGAAGTTCAAGAGGGGTAGGATTAAATGACGCTGTAACGTATACGTCAATTTTGGATGGTTCGAGGTAGGGCGTAAGGAATTCTAGGTAGGGCGCGGAGTAGGGTCGTCGGTGGATGATGATTCCACAGGGAAGTAGGTAGTGGATCTCTCTCCCGTCCTGTTCTGGTGAGAACGCAAGTTGGGGAGTTTCAATGTAGTTTGGAAGGTGATAGATGCGTGGAGAGATTCCGTCGGATAGTATGAGAAGAGCTGTCTTATGTTCTGCCGCTCGTCGTCTGAGGGCTCGTCTTTCTTCACTGTCGTTCCGACGAGGGGGTTCTAGAATTCTCTGTTCATAGACTTCGATTGATAGGTGCTCTAGGTGTATCGAATTGAACCTGAACAATTCTCTGGACGCTTGATCGGATTCCCAAAAGCAGGTTTGAGCAGCTGCTGATGCGTACTCGAGTAAGCGCGACGTATTGACGGAGTTGGGAGATTTCAAATGCTAAATCGTCGACGGCTAGAACTAGTCCTTCCAGTTCAGAGATGGGGGAAGAGGTGGCTGATGAGTCTTTGTAGTACTCAGTTTCTGTGTCGCTGTGGGCAGGCTGGGGGTCCGTGGCAGCGTCGACAGGTACTGCAACGTGGAGGTCTCGGTTGTTGAGGGCGCGATGGAATTCCTCGAGTGAACGTCGTTCTTCGTCCGTTACTAGGCTCTCTCTGATGTTCGACAGTTTGACGATTGTAGAAGTGATCAAAGACGACAGCTAGGGTGAGGACTTGAGCTAGAACAAGTAAGAGTATTATTTTGAGGTGGGTAGGAATGTTGGAGAGGACAACTAGCTAGCTTAGCTAGAAGGCAAGTGGTTTGTTTTGGATGGGTAGGAGGACGGTGAATGACAACACGTCCGAGGGATGAAGGAAAAAGTGGGTTAGGGCTATAATGGGTTCAAGCGAGATGGTACGCTGTGAACGGATTGTAGAGTGAGCTTTCTATTTTGTGAGGCAACGATAAACTATAACAAAAACTAAACCTATCTCCTTCTGCACTTGCGGGGAGTAAGGGTCCAATGAGCTTGAGGTCGACAGACGCTAGTAAATATAGCGAGTAGAGGACTTTGAGAGGTAAGCTTCAAAGGTTCTTGTTGAGGAGTAAAGCGGGTAAATTCAGTAATAGAAAGCTAGGGAGCTATACATGAATAGGTACGTCTTTATATAGGGAACTGTCCGTTCCTCAGACCGAAAGGAGAATATACGAAAAGTGGTCTGAGGAATTAATCAACCAATAAGAAAAAGGGAGAGTAACTATCGTACGACTTCTGGCTTGATTAATCAGCAGGTGAGAGACTTGTACTAATAATAGAAGATTGTCACGCGTGGTCAGGAACCGTATCCTCATGATGAGGTACGATTCTAGATAAGGCGTTATTAGTATTACCAGGCTTTACTGGGGCTTGGAGCTGGTTGGCGAGATGCCTACTACCAGTCCCTACCCAGTGTGCTGGCTGGCTGGGAGCGATGCCCAGTCTCTGATCTGTGATATAAAATGGTAACGATGGTTAAGAAAGCCTGTGAGGGCTATGAGAAGTAGAACGGCAAACGATACCTCTAGCCCTAGAGCCAGAGGCGTAATGGGAAAAGCGTTCGAGAACCAAGACATAGTGAAGATAAAGAAATAATAAAATGGTCCTTACACACACAACCTATCATCCCATTGACTCACATCCCAACTCGCCCAGACACCTTTCTATCATTCTTCCCAGCCAATGTCTCACCAACAACCTCCCAAGACTCCTTCCAAACCATTCCCCTTTAATTACCATTATATCACCATAATTCCTTTGGTGTGGAACCACTGGAATTTTCTCATTTTTACATAGTTTCAAACTTCTCTTTCCTCTGACCAGGCCGCGCATTTGCGTCCGCCAGTCAGGAGAAGAACTGAGAGCCTAAGAAGCCGGTTAAAACTAGACAACCGTCTGGACCTAGTTTTTCTACCATGGTTCCAGGAATTTGGACTTGGGGATTCTGGTACTTTGAAGGTTTACGACTTGACCCACCCACAACGATGCCGCAGCAAGTCTTAAGACTTGTCCAAACAATGCCAAGTTAAGCAACACACCTCTCCCCTCTTGTCTGTTCTATTCTATGACCATGATGATGATGCACTGGCATTCTAGTACAACCACACATGCAAACTTTACTGTTTTTTTGCCTCAGATTTGAAGTCCGCCGTATACTGGATTCTACAGCCGAGATTATGTATTACTGTATACTACGCAGGTTGACATTCGGTCAAGCTAAAATTCACAGCTTGCCGCAACCTACCTCTTGTTGATTGAATTTGGCAACTGCGGTACTTCAGCTAAGGACAAGGCAGGCTGGAATGTCCGGGGAGTTCCCGGATTTTTGCAGGGTTCAAACCAAAGACACGCCGAGACTCTAGATCTACCAGACGATCATGCTCTTTGCGACACTTTTGGTACGCCGACTTGGACCCAAACAGACTGGCCAAATGCGGCATTGAGCCCAGCTTTTGTGATAAACGAGAAAGAAGATAATCAAGTTCTTCTTTCGATTCTTCGATCGATCTTCGTCGAGTTAATACAAGAAGCGAAGGTTAAACCAGGTCAGGGGAAACGTACACAAACACACACGGTTTGAGTTTATTACATTTGTACTATAGACTAATATGTCTCATAACAAATAATAGGAACTGATGAGGCTATGCTGATGAGATGGTACGATACAGTGCTTGCTAGTTAGCGACATTGGGTTTCCTCTTCGAGGAGGCCCCCGTTGACAGGTGCACCGTGTGGCGAGTGTGCGTGTGAGCCTGCGTGTGTGGATGGAGTGACTGCGCCTCCGCCGCCGTGCGCACCTGCTACCGCTGTTGAGCCCGGGCCGATAGATACAGGAGAATTGGAATTGGATGAACAAGTAGAGCGGGGGTCTAGGCCTGAGAGGACGTCACGGAGGTGGTTGTTCTACACGATGGTGCAGGTGAGTTGCATGTGACGAGTGCAAGAGCAGGGAATTGATTTACCGATCGTTGTAACTCGAGAAGTTTTAGCTTTGTATGGGTTGCGTCGTGCTGGAGGCCCGATACCATGCTCTGTTGGATCGGAGTCAGCCATGTAGTGGGTGAGTTGGGTAGCTTACCTTTGCCGTTTTGGAGTTGAGACCCTTGTAAGGCTCTAGCTTGTCGAAAGGGATGGGGTAGAGCTCGTAGGAGAGGAGTTGGGAGTGGAGACGATCGATGTGGGCCTCGAGAGACGCGATATAGATTGTGCGTCTGTGTGGTGCGCCCAGAGTCGAGCTAGCGAGAATGATCGGATTGGTAGGTGTTACACATTCACATTCGGGTGGGACTGGACTCACAGTTCGTGTGGGCTGAAAAGGGATTTCTCGAGGACGTGATTCCAGATCTTGCGCCGCTTCGTAACGTCCTTGCGCGCGTACAGGCGGGCGTATGGGTGCGATATGGTGAGCTTTGAGGATCGACGCATGGAACGTGGATTGCCAGACGAGGATTGGGAAGACTGGGAAGAGTAGGACGGAGCCCTTGAAGGTGCGATGTGAGAGGGCTCAGATAGGTCGAGGGACGCGAAGTAGGGAGGAATGGCGCTGGATGGTGGAGGACATGGTAGAGAGCCTGGTGAAGGGTTGTATGAAGAGTCTGAGAAGGGAGGCGAGGATGAGTCGTAGGAGAGGTAAGTAGGGTAATCTTGGGATAACATGGTGGTGGTGTTTGACCAGTGTACGATCTGCTAGTGTTATAAAGGTCGGAGACAAGACCGCGGAGATGATTCCATTTACTCGGCCATATGAATACATTCCTCTGCCAGTGACAGATCTTCCTTGCCCCGACTCGGAACCCATCGCCCATCCGCATCATCTCACCCCAGTTCTCTCAGCTCCCACCCACACCTGATAATCACGTCGCATATCGAACTTGCCACTGATTCGAGCCATCTGTGCACCCTGCCCACAGTGCACGGGAACAAGATATGCCACAAGCAGACATTGTATACCTGCACGGACTGCTGCTGCATATGCTGAGTGTTCCAAGTCGAGATGACGAGATGAATTAAAGTGGGGATCGATCGAATCACCCACATGGCCGGAGTGCCCGACTCCTTTCCTCTTTTAGGCAGCACCTGTCAAGTTACATAAGCGATCGACCACAGATCGCGGCTTCCCGAAAATTGGCCGCGGCGACTCAACCTAACTGCAAGAAAAAAGCCGTCTGCTTCGCATACGTCGCGATCAGGTAAAAGCTCTCTCTTTTCTGTCTGCTACGTACAGCCCGGTATTAAGCTTCCCCCACGCACCCAGCTGGAGCCGGCCGACTCCGAACTCCACCTGTTCGCTTTCCAATCACCCCCAAGAAGGCCTCAGCGTCTGGCTATTTATCATATGGCAGTGCGTTTTTCAAATATGTGCAACACGCTTCCTCACTCACCAGAGTCCTCCGCAAAATCAGCTAGACTGAATTGCACCAACCTCCATCAATGTCACTTCAAACCTGAGCGCTGAGCCACCAAGCTACTTGTATCGTCACTTGGAACGGTTAGGCTTGTCCCGGTGTTATCAGTACCTTTTCTTAATGCCACTCACAAATAGCCAAGTCTCACTACATCCGACTCCGAGCTCCACCGTCGCAGAAGCTTAGATCTTAGACATCGTATCCACCACGCATGGGTTGTTTTCAAATACCACCTCCCGTGGACATCACCCTCAAAAATTTGTCTGCAGAAGAGGCAAAGATCGAGCCTATTGAACGGTCATTATCGCAATTACCCACGTCTTGACAAAATCATTACATCTGTCGTCGTTTTGGTCCACAGCGTCAACGGGGCAAAATTCAGTGCCCTTACTTTGGTAACTTGCTATTCTTATCCTCAGACATCGCACGTATCTAACCCCATCGTAGCCGCGAATTTCAACAGCCCTCTATAGCTCATATCTGGGTCTGGGTCTTTGCTGGAGTATTAATGTCCGTGTCGCTCACGTACTTGCACATAGCGCCAACGACCTCAGTGCGGTGGAAAAAAAGTGAGTGACACGCACAAGTGTATTATGTATGCGTGGTAGTCACTGGACTACACTACGTAACTATACATTCGAAGGAAACCTGAAACCAGTCATTTCGAGCTGACGACCTGCACATCCTCCCGATACGGTAGGAATACCGTCACCCAGTCTGACCACCCTCACACGACCCATGCTTTCTTCGTCGATAGTGAGCCTGCGAAGCGACGGTGCATGTACTGATGCATATCTCATTAGGTACATCCTTTTTGCTCCTTTGATAGTCAGCGTGCCCCAGCGATTGACACACGATAACGCGAGCTCTGCTATCGCGTCGCATCTCTTTATTTGAAGGCTCAATATGGAGTGACGACTTCTGCGGCAGCAGACGAAGGATTCCGCCTTTTCGTTCGCTTTACTTTGCTCCCGCTCAAGTATCTCCTCGAAGTACCGATAGTCAAGGATGATATCGACAAGATGGCACCCTGATCTCTCGATGTATGTTTGGCTCAGTAAGAGCGAACGGCGAGGGGTGATATGCACAGTCGTCCACAGGCGAGGCGTATTGACCGCGACGAATCGCCACCGTCTGCACACGTGCGAAATGACGAGGGAGCAGCAACTACGCCCCTGCTCCAAGTCATCCACATACGCTTCCTTGCTTTCTTCGAAAATTTGTGCGAGCAATTCATTAGGCAGTTCGTCGACGTGGGCGGTGCAGCCCAGCTTAAGAGGTTCCTGTTTTATCAAACTCAGTGAGATCCGAGGAACGACGGCGAGCGATAGCTGCGCGATTTGGTCCAAGAGCACTCGTTCCCGCGGTTGTAGCGTGTGGATAATGTGCTGGACTCCATGAGCTTCGATGAAGCCAACCTTGATCGATAAGTTGATCAGCGTGCGCTCTAGGCCTAAATCCGGGCCGTTGAGCTTGGTTGTGGAGCCGTCCATCTTGCTATTGCTGGATAAGTGGTGCTATTGGCAAATGAGGAGTTCATTTCAATGAATGCGCAAGTTAACGAAGCCCTACATTTATCTTTCGATGGTGGATACTTAATGTATGGATATATGCTGTATATATGCGCGACCAGGGCTATATGTATGTTATAAGTATACATCATTGAGTCTCCATAAATGCGCAAACGTTACGTACTCAGTTATATTGTCAATTTAGGGGTGTTTGCTTGCGCTCCAACAGAATGGTGGGTGGGCGAGATGGTTCAGTTGTGAGTTGAGGCAATTGTGCGTAGCCTCGGGGGGAAAATGATGTTGCTGCAACGTTGTCCACACGTGAAACTGAAACTACGCTCGAGTAAAAATCAAAATCAAGTGGTGATATTGATTATAATAGAAGGCAGCTCCGGCGTGCGTCACGCCAATTGCTCTTTTTCCTACCTAGTCTTTATCTGCCATTGAATACTCTTTGACTGGTGGCCTCGTGGAAGTGGAAAAGTCTGAAAAGTTTGCTGTATGTATATGCGTCCCCAAGACCCGAAAGACTCGGATAGACCGGGAAAAAGGTGCTTCAGTCTGTGTGACTATGTGACTGATCAGAATGCAAAAGTGACGAGTCACCGTTCCTAATTCGCTGACGTAGAAATCCGAGCTCACACAAAAGGAGAATACTACCCAACACGAAAAATCCGAAAATCCAAGATGGACAACATGCACGGGAGACCACAGCGAGCTGCATATAAATGACTATGGTTTCAATGAGCGTGGTCACGCTTGGAGTATGATTCAAATTCACCCCCGAGTAGCGCTCATATGCGCGGTCGTCATCACGGTACTGGTGACGTTGCGAACGATGGAAAATTTCAGTGATGGATGCGCCACGATGACGGGAGATATGTAACCTCGTGGTCTTCTATCCATGAATAGGCTACGCGTTGTTTGCCTCGAGCGCTGGGGAACGATAATCGCTATGGTGCTCCATGAGCTCAAAATAATCGAGAGGAATGGAGGTTGGAGGAAAAGTGAAGAGTCTGATGAGTAAAAAGGTAAGTAGAGATATTATCTATCTCAAGGAACTGCTGACCATGATACGTATTCTGATAACTTAGGGACAACGATTATTGGTGTACACGCTAAGGCTAAAAGGTGATCTCTTAGTCTTGTTGTGCGCACTGAAAGACGCCAATTCAGAAGCCTCCGCGGAGTATTCTTGTTAGGCTTCAGTTTCTTGGTCGTCATGCTGGATATGAGCATGGATGGTACAGGCTTTCCTGCACCCATCATCCTGTAATTTCACCTATTCTGGGAAACATGGAGTATGCGGTGAGTACACTGTTTCTCAAAGTTCCAATTCCAAGTGTATTTACGACACTTTACATGTTAGCGAGTAGGAGAATGATAATAGCATGAAAGCCGTACCTCGTCTGAAAGATTCGCAAACATGGCTCGCATGGAACTTATCGTGTCATATGATCATAGTAACGAATATGGCCAGCTCTATGAGGCAGTCTGTTGCCTATATTCGTGTAGAATGATATTTCCCTGAGTGTAGTCGAGTTCCTGGAATTGAAGCATGAGGTGAGCACCGTTTCAGTTTGATGAATCGCGACCTGCTGATGCTCAGTGAACAGAACGAAAGGTTATACGGTTATACGAGAATGCATCTTGCTGGACTTAAAATTCTTGGTCGTTATGCCGGACTTGAACATGCAGTACAAGATTCTTAGCACCGATGGTCCCAAATTATCATGGATCCTGGAAAAAAGGGGCATGTAGTAAGTACTTTGCTTTTGAAAGTATAAACTTGAAGTATATTCACGGGGCTTTCGGTGTTCTCTGAACGCTAAAAAGCAGCTTTCGCATTAGCGGGTATGAGAACGACGATAACATGAAAACTGTACCTGAATGGTCCACCATACTGTGGCTCGGATCATATCATGCAATCCTAGTAACGAGTGTGGCCAGCTCACTGCTTGTAGCAGCCTGATCGATATATTCGGATATATTCATATGGGAGGGTATTTCCTTGAGGGAAATTAAGTTACTAGAGGTAAAGCGGGAGGTGAGCATCGTCTCCATTTGATGAATCGCGACCTGATGATGCTCAATCGTCAGGACGGGTGACCGAGTCAAGGAGCCCTTGTTATCCTCTGGATGTCGAATGTGCATGAACGACATTATACTTACCTATGCCACCGTATCTCCTCCATCCGATCTCAATGAGCAGTGCGTGCTCTGCTTTGGGGTCTGGCTGAAACTCAGTGGTGTATTTGTGGGTGTGCGTGCAATGTTGGTAAGGAGATATCATACCTCAGCCAATGTCTATTGTGCGCGTCCGTCATGAAAGTCCCGTCGGGTAATCGGAGGCAGTGGATGTGGAGGGTGCAGTGGTCTATGATCACGCTTTTTACTTCAGTGTCGAGGGGCATCATCTAGTAGAGCATGATCCCAAATGTTGGCGAAGAGGTCAAGATGTTATCATGACGGTAAGTGGCATGTCGTGAATCAATGGCAGGTTGTCGATTTCTCACCGTTATTATAGATCTACAGATGACATCTGTTGGTCTACTGTACGGAGGTCGCAGAAGCGGACAGAGAGAATTCTTCGTAGGAAAGGGTACGTCTCTGGCTTACTGGGTCTACAAGACGAAGGACCCACTGTTTACTGTTTCCTCGCGTGCCTTGGCCATGTGGCCGCCCGCTCCCGTGGCACTCCGACCAATATTCGTGCAGGCCTCGCACCTCGTATTCCTATGCGATCAATATTTTTATTTTCATTGATCCAGCTTGGTAAAGCTCAGTAAAAGGGAAGACATACTACTGTGGCTTTCAAGGCGAGCACAAAGGACATAAAGCCGTGGGCTCAATCGTTATCATAGGGCTCGCTGTTTGTTAGGATTGTGGTCGCAGGTTCAGCCAAACGTGAGGAAGAGGACGACCGAGCTATCTGTGGCAACATTTGGACCACCGTGACAGTGGCTTCGAAACTGCAACCATATCGTGATCATGTCCTTTGGTAGTGGCAGTGGCTTGTCAATAGATGGACGCTCTGACCGCTACGTTGTGAAGTATATATCTGTCCTAAATTCTGGGAGAGCACATAACTCCTTCCTCCTTCTCGCTGGACTCGAACGAACACCAGGGACTTGTCGTCTCTCCCGCTTTTACGCCCTGTATTCTTGTCGCTCCCATTGCTACTTCGTAACTCCGACTGCTGCTTTATTGCTGATACTTGTATTCTTACGAGTTATGGCTTCTTTCGATATCAACGATTTTCTGGTATCTGCTAGCTCATTGACTGAGCCTGCAGAGCATGATTTCGTAGTCGCCAACGGTGGCACTACTCATGATCACGCCCCAATTAAAATGGGCAGATCCGCCCTTGCCCTGTAAGTGGCATCTGATCTGTATCGTCTTTTAGATGTCGTTGCTGACTACACCTGCCTTTTATTCACAGTGAGAATGGCTTCAAGCAAGCCCCGTACGGGCGGTTGACAGACAAGGATGACACATTATCGCCCTGGAAAGCCCACAACAACAAAAACCTCATGCTTCATGCTGCCGTCCAGGAGGAACATGCTTATGGACAGGAGCAGAATCCTAAAAGCTGGCCTTTAAGGGGTTTTACACCGGTTGTTGAAGAACTGGGGCCCGATGAAATGATAGCACTGTTGCAGTGCGTATTTTCAATCTCTCTTTTGTTTACCGACTTCTTTACCGACTACTTTGTAAAGCCCAGGGTGGAATGCAGGTTCAGCTATCAGTGCACTTCCCGACGTTTTCCAAACCCAAGGCACAATTTGTGAACCGACCATTCAGCATCATCAATGCCCCAATGGAAAGGCCAGCAACGCTGAAGAATTTCCTGTACAGCTTGGTGTTCAAGCTTTCCAAATCAATGAGAATACTCCGAGGCAAATGTCAGGCGAAATTTCAGTACCGCCACAGCTAGTTATTCCTATTCGAAAGCATCCTCATGCTTCCAGGAAAGTGTGGCCATCGCGCCGCCGAGGGTTAGTATATTTCTTCAATGCTTATATTCATTTCACTGACACTGTTTTTCTCCGTACTAGAGCTCATACTACGCCAGAAGATTCACCTCATGCTGTCTCTTTGACCCAGCAAGCACTTGTGCCATCTAATTTTTTAAAATTTTGGCCCCCTGGTTTAATCAAGATGAAAAGGCTGGTGAAAAATGCTGTAGAGAAGGCCCTGCAGTTATTGTCGATGATTGCAAAGCACGTATGCGAGGGCTAAGACATAGTACCAGTTATGGGGTCCCTCCGGGAAGCGTTCTTGTCAACGAGTGCCAATGGACAAATCGACCTTGCCACATGTGGATCGGAGGAACACGAACGAGGCTGAGCAAGCATTTTGCTCAACACCATGGCATCTCGAAAGGCTCAATGGTGAAATGTCAGTGGCCTGGTTGCACTGACCAGGTCCAATTTTCTTCCTTGGGTCGCCATGTCGAGATGCATCTGGAAAGCATCAAGGTTAGCTGCATGCGTTGTGACATTGTCTATTCGCGTCCGGATGCTCTCACAAGGCACATCCCCCACTGTAAAGGCGAGGGATCTGAGGGGTGGGGTGGGTCCTTGATACGCTATGGACTGGTTGTTCGGTTGGAAAAGTGTGTTTAGTTCCGAGAGTAATCCGCAGCTCCTCCAACATCATCCTAATGAACTCTGTTAAGGTGTACAACAAGTTTTATTGCAAAGGGGATGGGCATTCATCGTGTGCTATAGACATAACACAAGTCTTAGTGTACTGTGTCCTGTATTTACAAAATATGTACAATAGACGAAAGTCACTGGTCCACCAGTGCGTGTCAAGTAGTACTTTGATTGACATACATTGGTGGGCCAGTGGACTGCAAGCGTCGAAAGCTGTAAAAGAGACTGAGACGAATAAGGCAAGGATCTAAGAGTTGAAAATTACGGGCATTACCGACCTGCCATCAACTTTTCGTCACCATCATGTTTGACACAGCCCATCATTGAAACATCGAAAAATCATCACTGCGGTCGTGATGTTTCTTTGTATATACTAGTCATCATCTATCTGATTCTTACGGCCCTAGCTTTTCTCTAATAACTTCCTGTTGTTTAACCTTTTGGTCGCTTCCACTTCAATGCAGTCCGTCGATTCTTCGTACGCCCTTGCCATCACCGGCGCAGCCTGTGTTTGCGCTTGGTATTGGCGAGCAAGGAAAAACGCCAATGAGTTCTCTCATCTGGCTCTCCCGCCGGGACCAAAGCCACTACCTCTCGTGGGTAACGTCAAGGACATGCCAACTTCGCACGAGTGGGTAACTTATACCAAGTGGGCTAAGCAATACGGTGCGTCTCATAGCATGCCAGCATACAGCAAAACTTCAGATTGGGGCGTTGGGACCCGTCTCATCATTCTCAACAGGCGACGTTATGCATCTCAGCGTCTTTGGCCAGTCCATCGTTATCATCAGTTCGCTAGAAGCCTCCAAGGCCTTGCTAGATGGCAAGAGCGCCATCACGTCCGACAGGCCTCGTTTCGCCATGATTTCAGATTTGTTCGTTTCGCTTTCATATCTGATAGCTGCTTTCGCGTCTGACGCGTGTCTTCTTTCTTCCTTTTGTTGGGTAGGATGGGCTGGAGCTGGGCTGTACAGTTTATGGAAATGGGTCCACGCTTTCGTAAATACCGAAAGACTGTCCATCGTCTGTTACAGGCTCAGACAGTCAAGACGTATTGGCCGATCATTCAGCAGGGGAGCTTTTCTCTGCTAAGGGCCCTTCTGAACGATCCCGAACACTTTCGCGATCACGTTAAGCAGTGAGTGTCTTTTTCACAGAAGCAGCTTAACCATAAGCAAAAAGAATTGAGTTGTATGCGTCTAATTCTGATCACGTCCCCCTCTCACAGCCATTCGGGCGGATTGATGATGACGATTCTATATGGTGAGCAAGAAGGCGAGATAAGAGATAAGTACGTGTCAAAGGCGGATCAAGCTGTCGACGGTCTCGTTAAGGCAGGAAATGTCGGGACCTTCCTCGTTGATTTTCTCCCGTTCTGTAAGTCACGTCCGAAAACACACTACGACGCTCCTACATGATAAAAGAGCTGAAGACGACGCTTTCTAACATGATTCAACAGTAAAATACGTTCCAGAATGGATGCCAGGTGCAGGATTCCAGACTAAGGCAAGAATATGGCGTCAACAAGCTCGTGAGATGATCGAAATACCCTTCTTGCGGACTAAACAGCTATTTGTGAGTGGCACTTATGCTCAAGTTGACATATTGGACGTGTCTTGTTGATGGGTTCATCGTTCATATCCTAGGATCAAGGCATGACCCAACCTTCCGTCATGAGCCAACTCCTGCGTGAGCAGCTAGACAGTAAGGAAGGAGCCATCGACAAGGAACTTATTATGGGTGCCATTGGCGTCTTGTTTGTTGGTAAGTAGAAATCAAGCCCTATCCTATCACCATTTTTGCTAACTGCCTCTCTTTTCGCCAGGGGGAGCTGATACGGCAAGTGGTCTGATTGGCGTTCGATGTGCCTTTTGTTTCTAATGCTCTATTGTTGTTCCTTCTTCATAGGCCTTGTCGGTTTTGGATACATTCATGCTGGCGTGCGTTTGCTGCAGGATTCTTCAAATGACCATGTGCAATGCACAAATAGCTGACGTCGATCCAACAGAATGGCCATGAACCCACGAGCCCAAAAACGAGCTCAAGAGGAGATCACATCTGTGTTGGGACCGGACAAGTTACCTCAGTTTTCCGACCGATCGATGCTACCCTACTTTGAATGTGTCATGTGGGAAACTCTGCGATGGAATCCAGGAGTTCCTCTTGGAGTACGTATCCTTCCTTCTGACCCCGTCCTTTTGTATTCTTTGTGAGATACTTTGCTAACGGAATGTGATCGTAGGTTCCCCATCGATCAATGGAAGATTTCCAGTACAAAGACTACCGTATTCCTGCTGGTGCCACTATCCTCGCGAACCAATGGTACAAATACTGCATTTCTTATAGGTGTCTCGGCTGATTATCGTTCTCTTGTGTTCGTAGGGCGATTTTGCATGACGAACAGAACTACGAGAAGCCTTTTGAGTTCATCCCAGAGAGGTTCTTCGATGCAGCAAAAGACGGGAAAACAGTTCTTGATCCACGAGAGGCGTCGTTTGGTTTCGGACGCCGGTACGTCTCTTTTCCTCTTCATTACCTTGAAACTTTGAGCTTACGTCAAATCGATAAATTTCGTTCGACGATAAAGAGTTTGTCCCGGTAAACACTTCGCTGACGACCTGCTATGGATGTTAATGATCCACATAATCACGAGTTTCGACATCACACAGGCAACTGACGCGGAAGGGAAGCCAATACCGATTGCGGGTACTTATGCGGCTGGTCTTGTCACGTACGTTGCCTATTATTCTCTCGACTTAGTGTGCTGATGATTGGCGTTTTGCTTTATAGACGCCCAGAGCCATATATATGTACAATTACGCCTCGTTCAGATGCTCTTGTTCAGCTGATACAGGCTGGTTCTTCTGATCATGCGGTCATCGCTGATCGACACTCATGAGATGTGTTCTTTGTGGTTTTCTTCTATCATTTTACTGATTTTATCTATTATATCACTACTGCCTTGCGTTAGTTCATTCCTCCTTTATATGCTCGATAAAGTATCCAAGTGTTCGACCGTTCAAGCTTCCAATGTATCTTGTTCACAGCACACTGGAAGTATTGCAACGCAGTCCACATGAAACCATCGAGCTTTCATCAATCCTAAGATAGTGCAGATCAAAAATAATGTAGTGCGGTGTAGTTGTTGCCATACCAAAGGTAAGGCTCGGTTCAGGTTGCTCTCTAAATCCAGCTTGCTTCGTCCGTCCGCCCCCTGGCCTAATCTCAATTTTTTTCCCCGTAGTTCTCTGGCATGACTATTGAAGAGCTACAATGTGAGTAGATTCAGATTTAGTGAATGCCGATGTGGGAATTAAAGCAGCACTGGCAACTGGAACTAGCTGGCGTTCATATACTTGCTGAAGAACTTCATCGCAAAAAAAAAACATGAGGACCGGCGGAATAAATTATGTACAACCGTAAGACACGTCCTGCAGTGGGTATCACACCAGGGCAATATGAGAACATCATGGTAGTAAGCAAGGTAAGTCAGGCTGTGAAGTCCCTGACACCATTGCTTAACCATTTATTGTTCATCCTGTCAGGTACGTTGTCTTATCGCTGATGACTTATTTCTCTCATATGCATATTACAGGACAGTAACTCTGAATAAACTCGTTTGTTTTTCTGGGTACCAGTGCATAACCTGTGAGAATACGATAGTATAGTTACCCCCCATCTTTTCTAGATGGTCGCTGATTACACATCCTTATTCGCAGCAAAAACGCCTCGAGCACAACGCCTTCCCCTCGTGGTTCACTTACCTGACAAATGACAGGAAACCTCAATTGCGGAAGAAAAATCTCACAACAAAATAATTATTCTATCCTTGCCATCAGAAACGTACACCTATAATCTAGCTACTAGTTGACAAACCTTGTCAGCTTTAAGGCTTGCAGAGCGGTTTGTGAACCTTCCAATCCTGTTTCTGACATTCTCGGGAACAATACCGCGCCTTCTTGCATGCCCCACATGATTGCATGCCTTTCCCTCTACAAACTTTACACAAAGAATCCTCTAGGTTGCGACCGACAGTCTCTAGATATGAGACGCCGAAAAGTGAGGTCCATGCAATCCAAGGATACAACCAGTTCACATTCTTCGTCTAGCTCCACAACTGCGGCACTAGATTCTCCGATCTGAGAAAGAAGTCCTTTGATTATGGGCGTTGGAGATAGTTGCGCTGGTACCTATGTTTTGTGATTCGGCGACGCGAGGGGCAATGGCGAATCAGGCAAGACAAAAACACGAGACTCGTCCATCAGTCTTGCGCTGAACAGAGTAAACTTGATTCCGAGCTTCCTAGTAAGCAACACTGTCGCTGGCGTAGTCCCGATTAAGAAGCGTACGTGGAGAGTATCTGGAGCCCTTAAGTCTGTTATGACCTGGGTTGGTGCGGTGAATGACGCTATGAGGGGTGAATTTCCTTTCCAACCCTTTGAATCCTCTTCAAAAAGGACCTTCGACCGTGCTCCAGTACCAATTACTTGCGCTCTCCCAAACGCAACGCTTATCGAAGCGAATACATTTTGAGTCTCAAGGCGATTATCTACGATATCGCAGTGCAGTGACGGGGTGCCAATCTCCTCCTTTGAGTGTTCCAGCACAGCTAGACACTCACGAGGGATGAGCAGGACAATTCGAACGAGAGCTGGAACAGTATCCCATTTTGAGATCCTGCCAAGTTTTGAAGGATTAGTCCGAAGTGCAGGGGCAGTGTATACTCCATGGCGAAGTAGTTGCCCACAGAAATCTTGGTAACTGAGCCTAATTAGGAATAATGATTTATCTGCCTTCTCAAGCTCGAAGAACCTGTCCATGACGTTCATCCACATTTCTTCAGCAACGCTAAGCCTAAAGCGACATAGCTGGAGGAACAGCACAAAGCTTTCACGCGTGTCGTGTATAAGGCTCGAATTGGCTATGCCCTTGTCCGCAGATTTTGCGTGTTGTGCAAAAAATTCCAAAGGCTCCTCATACTTAAACACTTGGTGGTATATGTCATATAGGAGTGTTCCAAGCTGGTTTGGGTCGAAAACCGGAGGCGGCGCTCTGATTCCAAATCGCGAAATAAGGGCATCTCCAGAGGTGAGCGGCTTCCACGTTGTCACCTGATGGAACTGCTTCCCTGGTGACGTTAAATGACGGTACATGAATACTTCGTGGACATTCGATCGTGTGGTAAAGCCAGAGAGGTAGTCGACCGGGCATAGACGAAAAATAAGACCGATTGATGTTAAATCTGCATATAAACGTTGAGCAAACTCTCTCGTTGCATTATGTCCACGAGACAATAGAGATTCGGTGTAAAGGACGCTGTGTGGCCCCGAAGACATAAGGGGAAGAGAAGCTACGAGGACGTTTAGAAGCCCAATGTGATCATCCAAGTTGGATGTATCGACGACATTGAAGGTGACTGGAGCCCCGCCAGATAAATATTCGCGTTCGCTGAGTCGAACCGACTGCGGTGCCCATTATGCAGCAGGTAGACCGATGTCTAGAGCCTTGTTGGTGGAAAATGCTTGAAATGTGCGGCATACCGAAGTAACTTCGCCAACGATGCATCGAACAACCGGGACATTGGCAGAAGAAATAGATGTGCGATAAGCATTACACCAAGCATGAAATTGTTGTTTTGCTCCCGTTACAGCGTCTGAAATGGAAACAGGGCCCTCTGCATTCCCAAACAAAGCAGCTAGATGGAATGGAGTGAGCGGGTCAGTCCCATAGTGCACAGAACATTCTTCGCCACCCTGGGAGTAAACGAATGTCGGGTTGAGTAACTTGGAAGCAGCAATCTGCTTGTCGTCAGTGAATGTCACACCCGTTTCCCAGTACTTCTTCAACTGGAGAACCACGACTTCTGTCGCCTGCAATGTGAGAGGTCCTACTGATCGAGCCGCCACTACGGATAGTGCATTTTTCTGCGATGCCAGTTTACGAAATCGGGTAAATTTGTCGTAGATAGTTTTGGTATGACTGCGAGGCAGATCTTGCATATTAGCATAGAGTGACCAGTGGCGCCGAAGTTCTGCGAGTGTGTTGACTACACATCCTAATGTATGCCCCATACGGGGATGTACGCCAAGTTTGAAAGTTTTCGGAGAGCTCTATCAATTTCTTACATTGACTGACCAGTGTAGAGTGCGAATCATTATCAAGGTAAAAGTGGAAAAACATATTCCAAATGACGGTAGGTGGCAGGTCATCGGCTACCATGCTAAATAAAAGAATATTCCGAGCTATACAGGCACACTATTAAAAGTGCATACTATCGATGGATGGCCGATACATACCTAAAACAGCTGGATCAATATCGCAGCAGGTATAATCAAGTTTTCGGCAAACTAAGATAGATCAGTATATAGTATATGAGGATAAGCGTTGGAAACTTACAGTACTCAGGTTCGCAATATATGGTGTAAAGAATGTTACGGGGGTCACTGCAACCAAGAAGCACAACTTCAGCGGACTCCTCAGGGGGCAAGTCCCTGGTCAAGCAGACCGCGCTAGTATTTCATATAGCATAGAAATTATAAGCACCAGGCCAGAACAACGGGTGAACCATGCTGGTGATGGTACAATGGAGAGCTGGACATCATGAGGTTGAAATATATACCCTGGGAAACGAGGCGAATCCCAAAGTGGCCGATTCACAATGCACTTCCAAAATAGTGGGCGAATGCCTGTAATATGCATATCTGACTTCTGTAGGGAGTAGCCAGAAAGAACGATTCTATCAGCACCGGTATACCATTGTGCTGGGCGTCACTGTTGTTGTGGGCAATATGTGCTCGGCATGACAGCAGCTGACTTACAACCAAGAAGGCGACCGCACAAAATTAAAAGATGTGAATCATAAACAAAATACATGATTGACCACAATACCCTGATTGTCCGCTTCGAGTAATTATACATGAATACACGGAGTCCTACGTGTCATAAATCTCTGTGTCAAGCTCAATTCTTCTTGAATTTTAAGAAGGGAAGAAGTCACTCACTTACATGTCACGACAAATGACCCGCTTTCACTCCTCCCCACTGTGCTTTGAAGTGATCGCGCGGAGACTACCTTTACAGCGAGATGTTCCACCTTGGTCATTGTGACCCAGACGTTTGTAGTATCCGAGGGCTTGCTCGTACGCTGAACGAGCCGTCTCGTAATCTTCTCGCAGTCGGCATATATCCCCAAGCTCCTCGTATAACTGGCCAATGGCCAATGGACTGCCTTGCTCTAAAGCCATTTTAAGCCCTTCATTGATCGCCCGGAATGCTTGTTCACTCAATGATACTTGTTCCGCTGTACTGCTAACTTGTAGCATTTCCTTGAGGGCCCTAGTGAGGCGAATCTGACATCGAACAATTGAGTCCTTATCACCCGAGCGTCGCAGAACTGGCAATGCATCTAGCACGGCATCGCGAGCTTGAGGATATTGCTTGAGTTCAAAATAAACCCTGGAATCCCAGGCTCGACACATGGCTGCATCAGTCTCACGACCCAGCTTCTCGAAACGATGGCGAGCATCCTCCAGGGCCTCGTGTGCTTCCGAGAATCGGCACCTATACCAAAGATACATTCCTAGGTGTTGAAGGCTCTCGGCAATGCCAAGCTCTTCGCCAAGGTCTTGGAACTCTGTTTGGGCCAACCTTATTACCCGCCCATACTGGTCACTGGGCAGGTGTTGATAGGCGTAAGTCCCTCCCAGCTTCAGTAAGCATTCAGCTGCAAGACGCCTCTCCTTGATTTTGAGAAAGATCTCCCTTGCTTCTTTGGTAGAGGTAACTGCAATATCATAGCGGCCTAATTGCTGACAAACCTGGCCCCGACACAATAGTGCATTGGCTAGCTGAAGCCGGCTGTTTGGCGCATTGCGTGCAAATTCAATAGCACGGTCGACTATTTCCTCGCTAGGCCGCGTCCAGCATTGGTACCAGCTAAAAGACACCAACGCCTCCAAAGTAGCATGTTCGATCATGCCCTGTGCTGCATCTAGCAAGATGGCATGAATATTGGATTCCTGGGCAGCAATGACTCGAGTATCTTCAGAGTACTTAGCATCCCCAGGCTTAGATGAGTGGTCTGATACGATTTGACAAAAGGTCTGGTGTAGCTTCTTTTGAGTTTCAGCGTTCAAGTTGTGATGAGTAAGCATGTAAGAACGGATCAGTGCGTGAACATGGATAGAATCGGTGTTAGATCTATATTCTGCGAGCGCTGACTGTGTGATAGCAGCTACTGCCCCGGGAATGTCGACAGTAGACGGGAATATTTTCTGTAATAAATCAAAATTTGCGCCACCAGGAAGTTTGGAGATTGTCGTCAGGAGCGAAGGAGCATCTGGGTGGGATGCCATAAGAGGGCTTTCGACGGAGAGACGAATAGAGCAATTGACGCTGCGGTTGGGATCTGCATTTCGACTAAGCATGTCTGTCCCAATATTCTTCCAAGTGTCCAAAAGGCGAGTCGGCATAAAACCCGAGGTTTTCCCAAGAGCTGCCATAAGCGTAATTGCGAGAGGAACATGGTCTAGCTCCGAAAGTAGATGGTCCAGGGCGTCATCTCTCTCCGCTTGATCATGGATTTTTATATACACCGTCCGTGCCGTTTCCACCTCAAGAGCATAAAGCTTTTGAGTACGCCATTCAATCCCGGAGGATGGGGCGACCTCAGAACGCATAGTGACCAGGATTGAGAGATGAGGAATTTCTTCAATGGAATTTAAGATGTTCGAGATTTCCACCTGTTGGTCTAGGTTCCACACGGTCTCGAAGTTGTCGAACATGATGATGCGCGAATCTGTAGTGGCATTCAATTCTGATATAATATCTTCCAAGCGGTTTGCAGTATTTTGCGTGATATTCAGATGTTTGACCATGATGTCGAGAAGTCGCGACGGTGAGTCAGCTTGATTACAAGGGACCCAAAAACATTTCGTGCCAAAATGCTGCTCAACTTCTGGGGAATTGATGATACTAAGAGCCACGGCCGTCTTTCCGATTCCTCCACGTCCAAGGAGCGCGACGTTAGAACTCTCTGTGCCGCATATCTGGTTCACGATGTCTTTTACAACTACATCTCGACCATAAAAGATAGAGCTGTTGCGGGGGATCGGAGGTGCTGAAGCTGAAGATCCACTATGGGCTTGCTGAACCAACATGGTTTTAATCTCAGTGAGCTCTTGCGCCATATGACGGATGTCTGTCGCCATCCCGCAAAGGCGTACTGCTTCTTCAATCTTTGTAGAAACCTTGTATTTACTCATATAAGTTCAAGCACAGCAGCTTATAATCAAAACGCACAGAGAAATGCTCTAATGCTTGGTCGATTTTCTGAGAAGCACTTGCAACTTTCTCAGCATTCTTGCTCTGAAATAAAAGTAACAGCAGATAATTTTGGTTTGCAATGTTGTCCAGAACATTAGCAATCTCTTCAAGGATCCTAATGTATTATTGTCAGAGAAAGCGATTAAGAAAGAGATATTCACAGGTAAAGCTCACGCGGTGATACGATTGATACTCGTTTCCATATCAGCCGGAACTTCCTCTGTCCTCTTTCCTTTCAGCGGCTGAATCAATACAATCATCAGGGCGCATATGCGGTCATTCAAGTTGTCAAGAAGCTCCATATTTGACTTCGTATTCTATCACGTTGTGTCTGAATATTGAGTCTTTTTTCGTTATTTACCTCGAAGAAAACATACCTCGCCCTTTTGTATTACCTTGCGAACGATGGTAACAGCCTTACTCACGTAAGGAACCGGAATAACATCGGCGAGCTCACCAAGGAGCTGCAGTGAAATCTTTACCCCTTCGAAGAAGTATTCGCCGTTGGTTGGCACTGATAGACCATCCGATCCACTCTGTTTAGAACTCTAAGAAAGCCCATCATTAAGGCATTGAAAGTCATGAATTGAAGGATTTAAATTTTTGAATAAATTGGTTCATCTAAACATGTCCGACACATACCTTACGTTGGGCGAGTTTGGGCTTTGCTTTGGGCTTTGCAGAGCGTAGTGGTAAACATAAAAAAGACATGAGAGTGTCCGTAAAATGCAAATATTCAGTTGCTACTTTCCAGGTTGATACCGTGCAAAGAGGGTAGTCTGGTGAAGAAGTAAGCTTTACCAAAGCTCTTTGTAGACTGGGGCATATTCGCTTCCAATTATGTTGCGTTATCCATGCTGGAAGGATGGGAAACCCTAGTCTCCTTTGGTCCTATAGCTATTGACGTGAGCCAATCGCTATCTGAAACGTGTACTTCGTGAGGCAGAAGTCCTACATAAGAACGATCTCCTCGTGGGCGCTGGACCAATCTCGATTTCAATGAGGCCTTCTCGTGTCTAACCTGAAGGCCAATGACTCGGATTGTCACGAAGTAGCCTACTAGTCTGGTCCGAAGTAAGGACCTTTGGCAGGAACCCCCGCTTCGGTAGTAATAGAGAAGACACATGAGCGGCACATTCGGCTTGAACTCGGCATTTTGTGGCTAGTCACACCAGGAAAAAGCACATAAAGGTTTCAGCTGAAACAGCTACTGTAGAGAACAAATGTTATGTATATAATCCCTACTATTGTATCACAACTACGACAATTTATGTAGCACCTTGAACCTATATGATTCTGAATATCCCATTTCTTTTTGCCCATGTTTTGGTTCAGGTGTGTCTGCAATTCATAGCGGTGTTTTAATTGGAGCGGCTGACTATCTCAATGGCTCAGCATCTGTTTGGGATGGAAGAAAAATTTGAAACTAGCGTTGTTCGTCATCTGAGAGCTTCACTATCAACTCTACCGATTCACACAAAGGCTAAGTGGTGAGTTATGCTGGTTGAAGCAATAGCTAGCCTTTACTGTGATGCTCAGCCATATTCAATCGGAGCGGTTGAGTTTAAAATCAAGGTGCAAAAGAGCTCAATATTCGTGTTATTGGCACCAAAGGGGGGTTCACGCCAAATGGTCTTACTTTGGTGCAGACCTCAAGATATCAACTTATCATATATTGAATTAGGTAAGCAAGGGAGACTAGTAGCCTACACGAATTCACCACATCTGTCACCATTAGGTCTCTGACGGCTGAGTTCCAAAAACAGTGACATGGCAGGCAATTTGCAGCATAGACTCAATTGAACCCCTTGGAAATCGATAGCCTATATATGATACGAAGTCGTATTGTTTATGAAATATATCAGTGAGAATATTGTAATCCCTCGTCATATTTCAACATACCAATTCCTAGGTGCATAGGATATTCAAGTCACAACAAAGGACAAATTAATTGATGGTGGCGTATAGTGACAGGCTCTCTGAAAGTGTTAGGCTTTAGATCCCCAGAACTGTGTTACATGGGCGTAAACCCTTTCACCTGACGCTGTTGATAAGGTTGCTCCCTAATAGCTTGTATCCAATTGCTTGCTCATGTTGTAACAATGGCCAAATGACAGGTAAATTGAACCTCTGCAGGAGTTGCCAGTGCCAGAATACGTAATAGTTCAGAGCCAGTCTCGCCTTTAGCCGACCAGATTATTGTGACAGTACTCACACCCAGTCGGAAACGACAAAATATATACCAAATCACATCAAATATCCGACAAAATTCAATGTGATTCGGTATATATCTTAAAACTACCATAATCCTAGATTATTTTCCAATGTAAAAGACTTGTATCTAATCACAGCGATAGTAAAGTTTTCATTCAATATAATTAGATTGTTGTGGTCTTCACAAATAGCCAGATATTTGAATCAAAACAATCACATTGAATTATAGCTAATTACAATTATACGAGTGTAAACAAATGAAAATGAATTACAGTAAATTAGACAACACCAAACAAATGAAAATGGATGAACTTCACATAACCATACACATATTCCTCCCGCTCCCTACACATGGCTGTTGTCGTTGTCGATGATGAGAACTGTTGTTAGAAAACCACACACAAAACAAACTAACACACAATCCTCCCAGATTCCACGGAACTTGTTTATGGGCTTTGCCTCCTAGAACAGTGGAGTGGTCTGGTTGTTTGTGGGGTGGTACGTATAAATATCCTTCAAAGTAAAACCCAGAGGTGTATGAGTGTGGGTTTTGAGGAGGAGGGATAGTTGAATTTATAGGAAGATAGGTGCTTTGTGGCGAGTATAGACGAGCACTACCTTGCTAATGGTAGCACAAGGTAGGTTTGAGAATGACGAGGATGACGAGGTGACGAGGTTCCCAGTGATAGCAGGCTCCTGACGCACAAACTGTAGTGCTCAGAAGGACTCTAATCGAAGGGGATGACAATCACTTTCAAAAGTGACGAGTGACGATGACAGCAGTTAACAGTGGTAGAAGTGGGAAGTGTTGTGACCACACTGGATCACAAGTAGCAGTAAGAAGTGGACTTAAGATTAGAGAAGAAGTCTGGATTGGAGTTCTTGTTGTTTTTACAAGGTAAAATACAGGGGTTTATATAGTAAAAGAGAAGTAGGCTATGCACAGTATAGCTGTCCAAAAAGAATGAGAAAGAATATGAAGGAAGGAATGTACGCTGACGAATCCTGCGTAGGTAGTACAGGATAAGATTGTCAAAAAAAGAAAAAAAAGGGATAGAACAATAAATGCTGTGAGTAATATCACAGGTTTGTACAGCCATAAAGTAAAGTCCAATAGCAAAAGGAGAGCAGGAAAATCATGATGTCATGGGAAGATGCAGTAAAAAAAGGGCAAGGCAAAACACTATCAGTATCAACACAGTTCCTTTATTGTCAGTCAGGCATTCTAAAAAAATATGTGTCCATAAAAATGATTCAAAAATCAAAAATAATTGCACTGTAAATGAATGTTCTGCTGAAAAAAAAGAAACTGGAGCCACCGGTCCACCACCTAGTCCAAATCCGACAGTTCCATGGCCTTACCAATGGACTGGTTGTGTTGGACCACCTGATCAAACGAGGGAGGGAGAGGAGTAGTTCCAATTTGGAACAAGTGAGTCCCAGGCAGCGTGTGGTAGGTGTAGCTGTAGCAAAGACGATGGACAAAAGATAAGTGTACCCAAGTGAATGGGACAGCGATGAACATGGGCGATGCAAGGGGATGAACCTTCTCCAGCTCAAAAACTACCCACCCACGCTCCAACCAGGCAAGACGAGCGACCGATGTTTTGATAGTATATGATGGTAGATCGACATCATGAAGATGGACCTGTTGCCCTATTTGGACTGGCCGCCGGGGCTTTGCTGATATCAGCAGTGGCACGTGGTAGTCAACGGATCGGCGACGGAAGCGGATAGGAAGTGGTGACATCAGAAATGGTGGGGGTGCAAATAAGATGAGGAGGAGGAGGAGGAGGAGGAGGGTGGAGGTGATGGAAAAGTGGATTAGAATGGGGATCCAGAAACGACCGTCAGGTGAGAATAAAAAGGAGAGGAAGGGGCCCATGGTGGGGCTAGGCAAAGGAAGGGGAGTAAGGGAAACGACAAAAGCGAGGGCGCAATGCAATGTGTAACCAGTGGCGACGCGAAAATTTGCCGAAATGCCGAAACACGGAAAGTACCGGATGGAAAAGCAAAGGTGAGCGTGACTGGATTGCCTAATAGAGGTGGTGCTGATCAGCCACAAGTTCAAAAAGGGCAATATTAATTACTATTCCACGTGGCACTGTGCCTGTGTGGCGCAAAGGCGAGTCTTTTTGAATATTCGCTTCGTTATTGACACCTGTCCATGCTACCAATCAACTTTGGTGCATGACATCGTGCCGCTACTTTGTTTTATGACCCTTTGCAATTTCTATATAAATGTGAGGAATCGATTTTTCTTATTGCATTCCCGTCATGTCGTGGTTAACAGACCCGATCCCTGTCACTCCTCTTGCCCTTGGACTAGAGATCACAGCAGGTGTCTTATTACTTTTATCCTTTTTCTTCTTATTCTCTATTTACACTCACGTCCTATCGTACTTACAACGAAGGAGACTTGTTGTAGACCCTCGAGAAGATATCCAAATGACATAGCAACGATCCAGTGCTATGTCTGGGAATACTTCGGAGGAATATTGATAAGCGAAGAAGGTTGTGAGTCAGCGCCTTCTCATGGGCTTACTGATACAGCCAATCGCACACCCCTTACCAATACGTTTTCTCATACAATTAGTAAATACGATAGATCGGACCACCTTCTCCTTCTTTTCTTATTGGTTAGCTAGCTGGTCAGACCACTTTCTTAGTTCTTCCCTTTCTCAGTCTGACCATCGCTGTTCACTATATAAAGAAGTACATACTCAATGTATTATTCTCTAGTTCAATATTAGTTTGGATTTGTGCCTATACCAATACTCTTCAAAGCTCATACCCTGATTCACCGCCTTCCAGCAAGGACTTGACCAGGCATTGTATTTTGTTATATAGCTTCGTATTTGTTGCCCGACAATAAATAGATTGTTAGTAAGAAACATACAATAATTGCCCTTACAAACCTTCATTGCAACTTCAGGGATGAATTTCTGAGTAAGTTAAAACAATATCAGCTAAACAAAATAAAGCAAATATCCAAGAACACAAACCATTTCTTCCTCGAGAGGAAGACACTGACATCAGGAAAAACCATTTTGCTATATAGCTAAGCATGTTTCTATGGCTTCTATAACAGTTATAGCATTACTATAATAGTCAGAACATTTCGATAATAGATATCATAACTGCTATGGTAGCTATAGCAGCTATAGTAGCCATAATGGCTTGTTTCTATCTATGGGAACTTTGTTCTGATTGTGATGAAAACACCATTATTACTCACTAAATGGTTTGGCATGTATATTAGCCTGCTTATCTATGTAATAAAAGTCTACCACATATATCCCAAATATTGTCTGTATATTTCAGCAACCAGGCATTGCTATAATAGATGCTATAGGTGCTATGGCAGCTATAGGAGCTATAATAGCTTGTTGTTTTCCATGAGACATTTTTCTGGTGGTAACGAGTATGCTCTTATTATTCATACAATGGTTTGTTATGCAGGTAAATTAGTCTCATGGTTTATAAAAATCTATCACAAATATTCAATTGTACAGATACTAAAGAACACCCATCACATCAAAGTTGAAGTGTTTTGCTTGACGCACAAGGATGGATTTAGGTGGAGTTTGAATATGTGGCACCAAAGCGAATTTTCCAGCAGTTGACTTTGAACACTATAATTGAGTGTGTGAAAATGGACAGTGACACTGTCCATTTTCACACAATTAGATTAGATTTGATGTGTTTCCAAGGTGGCTTGCTTAACAGGGAAAAATAATTTTAAGTTGAGCTTTAAATTGCCACACCAAAGTGAAATTTTCTAGCAGTTGACTTTGAACACTAAAATAGAGTGTGTGAAAATAGATAATGTCACTGTTCATTTTCACACGCTTCCTATAATTAGATTAGATTTTGTGCCAGTTTTTTTTCAGAGTCAGCTCTTGATGTATACGTGGCACTAGTGTTATGTCACAAGTCACATCACAGCTCAGTACATTTGGACGCTTCACTTGGATTTTCTCCATCTTTTGCAACAAAGTGAAGCTAACACAGCACTCAATGAGTATCTTAGTTTAATGTATGTTTTCTTTTTTACAGTTATCTTATGTGACACTCATATAAGCTCTGTTTATTCTCAGCCACCATCTGCATTGGCATAAACGCTATAAATGCCCCCACTATATTCAACCACCACATCACAAGTCTACCTTCAGGTATAGTTTGTGTCCAGAATTCTTATATATGGGACTCATCAGTCCTAGCTATCCCCACTGATGTTTTTTGTCATTACAGTGATTTATTGGTATATGTATAACCACTTTAATTTTTTCTGAGTCGTTGGTGAATAGGCAGAGGTAAGTTCACCCAGCTAATACTTGGTGGTAGTCACTTATTGGGTTATTGTCTTGCACAGACTTGATGAGTTATCAAGCAAAACTCACAAGCCATTCATGAAATTGTGGTGAGTAATTTCATGGTAGCATTTATATAACATTACTGAGTGCATTATACACAGTATGAATAACTTACAGTATCTGATTTTAAAGGTATGATTTCAACTTTGTTAGGATAGTTTATCATTACATGTGTCATGTAACTGTATTAGAAATATATGTTGATTTTACTGAATATGACCTCTGATTATAATACAAGTAAAAATAATATAAATGCCCTGGAATAATATTTTATGGTAGTGATAGCTTTTATGTTCTATGGTAGCAGTTATAGTAGAGGTATAGTACATGTATTACAGAGGTGCTATCATAACTGGTATAGCAAATGTCTCAAAATAGTGCTGCTATATAGCGCTATATAATAGGGACTTGTACTATAGCTACTATTTTCCCTATATAGCACTATGGTGGCTATAATAGCTATAAAAGACAGCTAGGTTTTTCCTGATGCTTTGGTTGGGACTGAGAAGGAGGAAGAGGAGGACATGGTGGTAAGAGAACAACAGATGACGTGAATTCAAATATGATTTCATTTTCATTGACATAATAGTCTTATGTAAAACACTACTATCATTGGACAGATGTTGCAATCCAGACCCTCTATGCTCTTGGGCCTCTACAGGCTCAATAATTGTTGTACAACCCCATAAAAATTTGTCAGAGGTAGAATAGAATATAACAAACCATAATGTAAAAGAATTTTGTGAATATCTTACCTGTAGCAATAAAAACAGACCTGACACTACGGCCTTGACCTTCAAAAGTGCGAAATTTGAGGCAAAGAGGGCTAAATCGGGGCAGATCGTGTGCTGGGAAAGTCACAAAAGTTTCTAAAAAATGTCAACGGGTAAACCCCTACAATGCCAGGTGCTTACCGAGTTGATCAAAGCCTTGAGGCACCTGCAGATGGAAGAACAAATAGTTGCAAGACTGGTCCAAAACCTACCTTGTCGTTTCAGTTTCGTTCCGCTGCAACAAGGTCTGATTCACATTTTTATTGCAACAGGGACCTAGAGAACTCAAAATAGCAACTACTTGTGGTCTTCCGAAGACTCTAGCTCCACTCACTGGTGAGCAATTTCACTCCTCGCAAAAACGAGTGCAACATCTGTCCAACGATAGTACTGTGCAGCGCAGTCACACATTCATGCGTAGAATCAAAGTCGAGCTCATCAACTTGAGTCTAAGCTCATCGAATGTTGCTCTCAAATAATCGTGGGAACTTGTTTTGATTAGATTAGATTCGGTATGAATCATGTGACTCTGCGAGATTCTATCTAATTCAATACAAATTGTGTCGTTTTTTACTGGGACTCACATCTCACATAGCGCTTTAACTGGCAAAGAAATGGTTAGGTTCAAGGTAAGCTGCAAAGCATGCTCATTTATATATCGTTGAATCCATCCTAACCAACTCGATTCACGAACCTTATGAATCTACCCTCAGAATCGCTGGCTCCTCGTTGAATTTATCCCTTGCACGTCCTCCAGTCAGCTCGGATTGAGCCAAGCAACCGCACGCCTTGCCGCGACCCAAACCACCGCTCGTATTGATGCAAAGCAGGTATATGCGGCCCTCAAGCAGAGCGTTATAGCAAACTTTGGTGACACGGGATGGGGCGCAGTGGGTTCTTCCTTGACAGGTATGTTCTCTAGCATTCATTATTTGTGTGTATCATCCTTAAGGGCTTCTTATGGATTCAAGTCAAATACTATTCTCCGACTACGAACACTTGCATTATCCGTGTTGCACGCGACCACCACCGTATCGCATGGGCTGCGGTGACTCTCCTTTCCAGTATAGGAGGGGCTAAAATCGTGCCAAATGTAGTCAAGCTTAGCGGTAAGTAGCGTGCTTGCCTATAAATTTCCCCCACCCTACTTGCTAGAGTACGAGTTGTTGCTTATAATACGGTCATTTAGGAACGGTCAAGCAAGCGCAGCTTGCTGCTATCATGCACAACCGAACGGTTGTCGCAAGATATAGAACGATGGGCGGTTTACCTGGTGAGTTTTTCATTGTCTTCATTTCGTCTCTGGACCCGAATATGAGGGGAAGCGGGGTATTCAGAGCTCCATATCGCTCCCATACATTTCTTTTCGCTTTGTATCTGCACCTTGGTTTCCAAGCAGCTAATCATCACTCTTCCCATACACTATTCATCCAAATACCCACCCAAATGCGCGCATATAATCAATGGATATTTTCATGAATCTTGCTAGCCCTCTATCAGGACTCGTATGATTCTTTTCTGGAAAAAAGTCGGATGGAGATCGAAGCGATGAGGGATTAGCAGTTTAACCATCGACCTGTGATCAAGCAAGATAGACTGGCGGGTCCGATTAACCGCCTACGACATACGATCGTTTGGAAGGAAATAAGGATGGGTACAGGTACGGGAGCGTTGCATGCGTTGCGGCTACCTGGCTACCTGGCTACCAGTAGCAGAGAACGATTGAACATGAAGGGTATCCCTTACTCGTGCAATACTCAACACACACTCGTGGTCGGGAGGGCTACTCTGGTCAACTGTCACCACATTCGAAAGGAAGACATCCATGTGTCCATTCCCCATATACATCCTCGAAGTCGTGTCTTCCATCAAAAGCGATCCACTGGATTCTGGTTTTGCTTCGCCTGTTGCAGAAAATCAAAAAACATTTTACCCCAATATGTAAAAATAGAAACTATCTATCCTTCTATGCTTTAAACAAACACGTCGTTCGATGTTACTGGTATCACAGCTATACGATGTACAGTATTTTTTTTCTTTCTTCCCTAGATCATGACTCCACCCTTTGGATTTTATACACGAAGCAAGTTTATAACTTCGCCTTCGAGTTTGACTCTGCCTTCATCGACCCCTCTGCCCACCTCACCACCCCACACACTAGAACACCCACTTCCTCCTCCGTATTACCAGCGTGCAGACACACCCTCACGCGCTCGGCGCCAAATGGCACGGTGGGGTGTGTGATGGGGCGAAGGTTGAGACCTTGAATCTGGCTAGGGTGGGGCGGGGAACGAAGGAGAGGCTGCGTCGTGCTGGACGATAGCTGGGGAACGGCAGTAGTGATAGTTGACGTAGGCGTAAGTCCATTTGAACATGCATGAGCGATACAGCCTTCGCCACCCCCGCATCCTCCCCACACTCTCAAAGAATTGGCGAGCGAGTGGGGATGCGGAGTGAGGAGGGGAAGTATGGGTGTTGGGAGGAGTGCGTGAAGCACTGTAGTTGAAGTTGATGCTGGCGAGCGTGCGTTCTGTGCTTCTAGTTCGGTTTCCTCCCAGCCCTCATTCCCCACAAACGGTACCCTAACCAATCCCTCAGGGACACCCTTTTCCACAAGTGCAAGTCGCAAGAGACCTAAGAAATAGGTTGAGAGCGAAAGTAGACTTGTGGAGAGCTTTTGTGTCGCAGAAATGTGGTTGAGTGGAGAACGGATGGTGAGATAGATGTAAGAGAAAATGGTATAATAAGCTATAGATGGAATGTAGGGTAACTGACCTCTTCGCCATACGAGATGTCTTTCCCATGTCCTCTCCCGTCTAGCAAGTCAAATACACAGTTTATTCCAAGTGCAGACGCGTGACTTAGTGTCGTGGTATAAATGAGAGGACGAGCATAGTTGAGAAGGAAAGAGTGAAGAAGCGGGGGAAGGAGGAGGATAGCTGTTTTCGTTGGGTAGAATCAGAGAAAACGTTAGTAAACATTAACTGCAATATCAACAGAATAGAGAAGTGTATTCGATCATATGGACGATAATGCAAACCTAGTAGAAGTGGGAAGAAGGCTCACCTCCACTACCAGCCAATGCCTTACCAAATGTGACTAGCCTAACCCAGACGCGATCCTCTAAGCCAAAATGAGCGACAAGTCCTCTGCCTCCTGGGCCATATATACCCGTTGCATGAGCCTCGTCTACCACTATATACGCGTTTTGCCTTGGGAATACCTTTTCTACGACGTCAAAAAGCTGAGGGAGAGGCGCGATTGTGCCGTCCATGCTATAGAGGGATTCAAGTGCGATGAATACGGATGCCCTGCCTTGAAGGAGAGCGGGCGAGGCGGAGGTGAGCGAGATGAGGGTGGAGAGGAGGGAACTGGGTGAATTGTGCTTAAACGTCCGTATCGATGTGTGAGGGAGACGTGATGCTCGGACGCCATCCCATACGCTGGCGTGCACGGCTTCGTCCATGACGACCGCATCTCCTGGCTGGGGTACGACCGAGAACAGACTTACATTGGCATCGTACCCGGAATTAAACAGTAGCGTCTTTTGCACGCCAAACCAGACCCTCAATTTTTCTTCGAGCGAGACATGTGTAGATGGATTGATCAACAATCGAGAGCCTGCTGAACCAAGGATATTGGGAGTAGATGAGAGAGATCGGAGGTAAAAAGAACGCAGAAGTGGGGATGTTGACAGTGAAAGGTAATCGTTTGAAGTGAAATCGACGAGGGAGGTCGAGGTGGTCGGTGAAGGGAGAGAGCGGAGGATGTTACGCGATTGGCGGGACTGGAGCGCGCTGGTGAGAGAAATGGTGAGAGCAGACGTGGAGGGCGATGGCAGCGACGACGAGGGCTCAGATGGCGGCGATGAACTAGATTGTGAGGAATGCATCCTCATCACACTCGTATCAGATTATCCCGCAATTGAGTTTCCACAAAGTTACCGCGGCTATGGCCATTGACAGCTTTTTGATGCTTTCTTTTTCCCTCTTAGGTCGCGGTCGTAGAACGTATATCCGCTCATCAGTGATTGAATAGTGTCGACGTCAGTCTGCCCGTCGTCGGCGTTCGCTCATAAGGTGGAAATACATTGACATAGATCAGCAACCTTCGAAAATTCATATCAACACGGTAGTACGTAAAGCATAGCAAATCATTTGCTCTCGAGTCTCGATGTCGAGAGATCGCTGGGGTGTTGAGCGTCCAGAATCCAAATATCTAAATCATCGAATCATCTTAGAACCATTGTCAGATGATTTGGCAAAGCAGCCCACTCCAATCGAGTCTCATCTCCCTGCATGTGGAGATTCTATGTCTGGTGACGGAGTTAGGGAGAGATCAATGTTGAAAACCTACCTCAGGAACAATGCCGAACCGACATATGTCCATCGTAATGTCAACACATTTTCAAACGTGTCCTACACAAGCATCATAAACACTCACTTCCTAGACGGATAATGTAGATCATTTAGCAATGAAATTTAGCCAGAGAACAGAGGACTGACCTTGCGGTGTGAATTTAGGCATCTGAAATTAGCCATATAATATTTAGAAGGTCGACGCTGTATGAATGTTGATGCGTTGACGACGTGAAGAAGAAGCGGACTACTTGGTCTGAATTTAAAGTGAAAGAGGAACGTATATCCTGATAATGATATTTCAGCATCGCAGTCAACATGAACATCGGGTGGATGAAAGAGAAAAGTGACGTACAATACTTGGTACAGTTCAATCACGTTGTACCTTGTCCTTCAATGATTAGAATTACACCTAACACACACGACAGTGAATAAAGAGCAAGGCAGGAAAATGGGCGAAATTAACTTACACACTGACAACGCAACGTAAGGAACTATGAACGATTTGAGTATGAACACGGATAAAGGATACACACGTGCCAGAAAATCACAAAATTCACCAAGGCATAGCTATCAGAAGTTCTGACAACGATAAGAATACATGATACCTACCAGTATATCCGCATATTTCACAAACGTAGCAAAGGATGCCTGATCCGTCTAACTCAAGATGATCAGGAGCCTGTCACGGTTTTGTTGCCATATAGAGGAATGGGTATAACCTCCGTATAGAAAGTCGACTAGTCCTAAAACCATGGTCCTCACGACAACTGGCAGTCGTGATAGAAGCAGTCGGAGAAGTAAATAATACGATGCCCTGCGTCCTGAGTAGGCCATCTCCCGGAAAATAGCTCCTTTTTTTAGCGTGTCATCTGCCTGACTCGAAGCCTTTAGCGAGGATCCTGATACCTGGGTCACGTCTGGATACTGGGCACTGGAATCAAAACATTCCTGTGCCCAGACATAATCCATCAGAACTTCTGGAAGAGATGATTTATGGCTAGTTCGTATGTGATGAATGGTAAATGGGTCCACGTTCATAACATGAGGCAATTGCGATTTGCGGAAGCATTCTGCGACATGACTCGAGACAGCCAGAGTCATTTCGCAGAATGCTTTCCGTAAATTCAATTTACTGTCTAACAAGGGCTAAATTTTTAGTCGGCGATGATGTGGAAGAAAGCAAGAGATCAGCAAGACGGGTAAAAACTTGGAACATCGACGACTCACTGACAAATCTATGCTGTAGAATGTCTGAGCAAGAGGAATTAGTTTGCTGGGGGACATTGCAGAACGAAGCTTAAATGCAACTCCGCGAATTTCGGGTAAATATGTTGTCTGCATTTGTTTTTGTCTGTGGGCCATGTCGTATAGTTTCCCACCAGTGGCTCAGACTAACACCCACCACACACGAGGCCTGTCGTTCAAAAAACCATAAAATCCCAAACCAACAGTCGTATTCCAGTAAGTGCATCTTCGCCAATGGCCAATGAACGTATCCTCACCTTTCATCATGTGGAAGGTTCCACAACCGGCAACTTGTCTTTCAACCCTCAGGAGAAACTAGTCAACGTTCGTAACCAGGTGTATAGCGCTGCCCAGGCCCACTTGACAGAACAGTGGGGAAAGGACAAATCTGGTTCCAGACACCTTCACGGAAATCCCCAATCGGTCATCATCGTTACTGGTAAGTTGCCATCTATTGCAAATTGACTGGAACTCAGCCAACGATTATAATTCAGATTACGTTGTGTTCAACGTGGACAAATCAAAGGACGACAAAAAGATTTCAGAGCTTTTCCAGCACGGTGGCAACATGATCGCATTGGTACCTGCTCCATGTAGTCATGGTGATGCTTTCCCAGCTGACAAGGTTGCGCAAACGCCATTTGTACTGAAAAGTCCGTTACATAAAAAGATGGACAATCTAAAGAACCAGCGACCTCCGAACCCACAGGCGGCTGACAACTCTCAGATTCAAAGAATTTTGGAAATGTTTGAAGCACAAAAGAAAGAATTTGAGGAATATAAGAAGGCTTCAGTTTCCGAGAAAAAAGAGGTGAGCATGGCTTTTGAGAGTGTCAATTCAACACTGAAATCATAAAGCACAAGGCAACCGTGACAGAACTAAGTAACACATTGCAGTGGAAGGACAATATACTCAAGGCTCAGCAAGAGCAGCGGGATGAAGAGGTGAAGCAGTTTGATGTCAAATTGGAGCGGGCGCTCAAGGCCGAGCGAGAGCGGATGGACAATGCAATTGTCAAATTGGAGCGGGCGCTCAAGGCCGAGCGAGAGCGGTCTGACGTCAAATCGGAGTGGATGGACGATGTACTGAAGAAAGAGCAACAGGAGCGAGTTTTTGAAAGGCAGCAAGTGCAGGAGATGTTGCATGGCAAGGTGGATAACGAGATATTAGCCGCATTGAGCAACAAATTTGAGTGGCATGATGATGCCATCCAGGACCTCGAACAATGGGCTGTCGGAAAAGTATGTTCTATACACTGCTGAAATTGAACAAATCTGATACGCATTACAAGCAGGTCTGGCCACAGATGTAAGAGGAGCTTCACTTAGTTGGAGAGATGCGCTTGGGCCGCAGAATGAACTCTACACGAGACTCGAGAAAGCTAGGTCCCTCCTTTCGGCGCCAACAGTCCAGTTGGACGAAAGAACGAAGGCGTTTACCCTTTCTGCTGCTGGCATGAAACTCGTTACAGAAGTTCCTTCTGTCATTCGAGCACGTGGCGATTATGCTGCTCACCCGAGGAAGATAATTCGTGGAGTATTTCAACAAACAGTCGATCGGCACCGGGGGGGGGAAGGTTTGCAGGCCATTGTTGATTTTGTTTGTGACGATTAGCTTTTTCATGCTGTCCCCATCTGTTTTCGTATATGCACATTTCTCATGTATAATTAACCGTACTACAGGTCGAAGGCTTTCGTCTTGATGTTGTAACCCGATGAAACCCATAGCTCAAACTTATCGAACAGTTATGAAATGTGATAGTTTGCATACAGTAAACTTTCTTATACATAGCTCAGAAGACAGCGAGACATCGCCAACATCATCGAGCATCTTTCAAACGCATTCACCCTTAACACGCAAATCCACGTAGTATAGTCCGCTCGAGGTCACCCTCAAGGTCCTCACTTTCCACAGCGGAACCGCGATTCAATAGGCTGCCTCAACTGACAATTATTTACTCAACAGAACATGGCACTATTCTCTTGCGTCCGAGGTCTTGGCCTTCCGCGCAGGATCTTTCGTCCCTCTCTTTGCGGCACAGCTTGAGTTGTGACTCCTACTTAGCGGACGATGATGAGAAGGTTACCAGCAGAGAAAATGGAGGGCATATACGCATGAGCCTGCCTGAACAAACCGTAAGATGAGCATATATTTCACTGGTATTTGAGTAGTATAAATGTAAAAACAATTGCGCAAAAAAAGCATATTTTCCGACTTTACATGCAGAAGCAGTGTAGAAGATGTCAGCATATAGTGCTCAAGACCTAATGGAACTGAACATAGTATTGATCACATACCAAATCATTTCTGCACCTGATACTGCAGTTTTATGTTTTTTGGCGTACACACATCCCATATAGCCTCTAACTTCTTCTCCTCCAAAGGCCTTAAATTACACACCCATTCTAGCAGCTTATTCTGTTGCCAATCCAACCCAGAATCGGAGTGGTGCTCGTGACTGCTTGACCATCTAGCATGTACATCTGGCTGCACATCGGAGTTGACCATAGCAGAGCCTTCCGTATTAGCGACATCCTTGGGGCTGCGTAATACCACTTGTACATGTAGATCATCAGAAACAGGCAATGCGTGGCGTATGATGAGCCCATATAGGGGTCGGGGATAGTTGTTGCAAATCGTTATTGCGCTAAAAACAGTACGCGTGAAAGTAGTGTTTGTTAATGTCTGTGGAAATTGCACGCATCCCATCTCTGCTTTGCATGAATAACCGACAGAAACATTGTTGTCCACAGCCAACGGACAGTCGATACGATACCCCAGAGCGTTCTGCCAGGTAGAGATCAGTGAGATATACTACGAAGTGGTATAGAGACTCACGCGTATCAAAGTGGCGCCTGCGACATGTACGTCGTCAACGAAAAATCTCACACTACCCTCTAACAGAGAGCTGCCTATGCATCGTACCGAGCACTGTGCATTTTAATGTTAGCCCACACAGTTTTAAGATCAGCAAGCGGACATCACGAACAACATAAAATACGCGCTTATCAACGCTTGGGATGGCAACACGACTGGTATGAGCGGGCAATGACGTAGAAGTACAAAAGACCAGGTGTGGGATGCCATTAGTGGGCACAGACACCGAGGCTATGCTATTATAGCCGACCTCACTATCTTCATATACTGAGGCGTGGACGTCTTCTGAACGACATGTATTGTTTAACGGGGTCAAACGTAACAACATATTAAGACAGATCTCACCGAACAGGTCGTCTGATAAGGTGGACCGGGTCCCAATGAATTTGGGTTCTATTGCTGGTTGTAGTGCTACTGCTGGAGGTTCTAACACGTTTCTGGAATGATCTGCAGACTGTAGGACCTTCATATCCGAGAATGCCTGTTCTAGAGACTCCATAAGTGTATCACTTGATGCCATAGAACCCGGAAATTTGTCAGGGTCTATCATCACGTCAGTTGCCTTGGAAGCAATACCCTCGAATACTAGATTATCATTCTCCACGAGCAAAGTGCTATCATCTTCGACCTTGACCTCCGAAGCTATGCCTTTTCCTTTTGCGCGCCGTTTCTTCTTGGGAAACGCTGAGGATGGCGTAATGCGTTCGTTGCCGCTCACGCCAAACTCGGTCGCTCTGGGTCCTTGTGATAGCATGGAAATCATCAACTGCTTCACAAAACTTGTTTTTGGAACCCACCATTTGAGGGTTGAAATTTGGACTGTAAGCTTCCAGTGTTCGAGCCAGCTTTAACCTGGTGCTGAGAATTTGAAAAGCCATTTGTAGGACGTCCATTGAATGCGAACTGCACTGGGGTATCTGGATGACCACTGTATACCGGTGAACTAATAGATGCAGGTGGCCAATCCTCCCAATTGCCGTGGGTAAATGTGCGTTCTCTGATTTTCATTCGCTGCTGACGTGGGAGGTAGAAAGTGGGCACCTCTTGCTCGACCAGGGAAAATGAGAGTTCAACATCATCCCAAAACTCGCCTGTGCTTTGTCTGACGCAGGGTATAATTCGAAAGTCGACGGTAAGCGAGGTCGAGGGTGACTCGGACTGCATCCCTAGATTATCCTTTGTCGCTCGAAGTTCATACGTAGGCTCCCAACATACATCTCGGACTACTGGATTATGTAAAGCATGAAGAAGTACATCAGCGTTAAGCAATGTTGTACCTCAAACGACTTACGGTAGGTCATCTCAAGCTCGCAGTCAGAAAAGACTGAATTCCCTTCAGGTGTCAGCACGAGAACTACACGTGCCATGGCAGTACCATGATTCCTCATCCGCACGGTCTCAGCATCTATCTGTGCATCAAGCGTTGCAATTCGTTCATTGATGGCTGTAATTGTGGTTGCAAGGTCCACACGAATACGCATGAAATCGGTCAAGGAACTGACAAGAGTATCGGGAGCTGGAAAAGTGGGGGCACTCTTTGACAGACCGGAGGATAGATTTTTCATATATGTCGACAGGAACGAGGCTGCTTCTTCTGCAACGTGTCCCTCATTTTCCAGTGATAGCCTCTGAGCCCTCAGCATGGCTAGAGGCGCCTCAGACAGAAGATGGGTATCAAGGGTGCATTGTACGCTGTTGATGTGGACATTGCCTTGGGTGCCGGAGATCCGAAATGCGATGGAATCAGTATCGATAACACTTGACAGACCAGCAATCTCAAAGATATGCTGTTGCTGCTTGCCACATCAACAAATACTGGGAACGTGAGGAAGGAACAGGCTTACAGAGAAGTTCAGAGCTTTGAATGTGAATGTACGAGTAACTTTTGCAGAACATGTAGATGGATGATATAAAATGACCGACTTCACAGGAAAATCGGATGCGTGCACACTGGTGTACATCGCCATTGTACAAGTAGTAGTTCAACGTGCTTTGCTTTAGAAGAGGGCGTCTTTGAAGTAGTGCGTTACCCACGTTTGAGTACCACGTTATGCACAAATCGTGGCATGATCACGTCTTTAGCCTAACAGGGGCATCTAAATCCTCCTCTCCTCCTAATTAGATTAAGGGAGCAGGTCTTAAATCGGGCATGCGGTTGCACATCACTCTTATCAGAAATATCAACTAAAGGTTCTAGTACATATCCAAAATGAAACTCACCATTTCGACAGTGGAAGTAAGTATAAGTTGAACATTCCTGCATACAGTATCGAAATTTCTGCGCCTATCAAACAGCCACGTTGAATGTATGATCGTAGAAACTTTGTACCCATTCATTTCAATGAGAGTCTGCGATACATAATGAACCCGGTGAACTGCCAAAAGCGCGTTGACGTGAAACTTTACCTTGCAGTCCGCATCTCTGATAGCTCAAAGGTTAAGCCTCACCCGACAACTGTGTACGCATCTAATGAGTGGATATTGTCAAGGGATTTCTGTTGCGTCGCAGAACAAAAATCACCACACGTGATGAGCGCGTTCAGCCTTGTTTGTATTTCTTTGTTTTGTCCGTGGCAGTATTGTGAGTCTCTGGCTACCATCCCAAAGTCTGTAGCACCGCTCATCTTTTTCTATGTCATCGTATCTTATTAACTAAAGTGGATATTACATATGGCGACTAAGCAACCCCTGAAGTCTACCACTACCAACACCAAGAAAAGGAAGTCTGGCGATAACCTCCCTCAGAAATCATCAAAGCAACCAAGAAAAACTCTCGAGTCATACTTTACACCTCGCGTGTCAATCAGTGCCGGAACAGACAAGAAAACGCACATCGCACAACTGAGCGACGAGCAGAATGCTGTATTGCGAATGGTAGTCGACGAAGGAAAGAACGTGTTCTTTACTGGTTCAGCAGGCGCGCATGTCTCACCAATGCTCGCATGACTTTCTAGCTCATTAGAATAGAAACATAACAGGAACTGGGAAATCTCTTTTGCTTCGAGCAATAATATCTGCGCTCCGTAAGAAGCATGCGAATAAGCCAGACGTCGTATCTGTTACAGCAAGTACAGGCATGGCGGCGTCAAACATCGGCGGTCAGTCATCTTGCACAATGCCTTCATTCAGCCTCTAGAATACTTTTTATAAAAAGGCATGACAATACATTCATGGGGTGCAGTAACACCTGGAAACCATAATATCGACACTCAGATAAGTTGTATCAAGGTATGCAAACCGGCCCTGCAGCGGTGGAAAAATACAAAAGTTCTTGTCATCGACGAAGGTATATCTTTTGTCTAGTTCATTCAGTCACAAAATAATCTAATACCATAAACCTGAAAAGTATCCATGGTCGATGGTCCCCTTCTCGACACTCTCACTGCTTTGGCCGACCGGCTCCGCAAGAAAACAGACAAACCATTCGGTGGGATTCAGGTGATATAATTGCGCACTTCATAACGCCAATCATTTTGACGCACATCCCAGCTTGTGGTGACAGGTGATTTTTTTCAGCTACCCCCAGTTTCGAAAGGCCAACCCGCCATTTTCGCATTTGAAAGTGGTGCATGGAAAACGTGTATAGACCACACCGTTAATCTCACACGAGTTTTCAGACAGAAAGATAATCGTCAGTATATCTGCACCCTCTCCATCGCGTTCTACTCACCAGACTGTACATTTGCAATGTTCAGATTTTATATCCGTTTTAAATGAAATGCGCCAAGGCACTATCTCCCCAGGTGCAATATCTACTTTCAAGTCCCTTTGTCGGCAACTACCTCCCCCTCCGCCATCTATGCCCAACATCCTGCCCACAGAACTCTTCCCGCTTCGGCGGGAAGTCTCAGACGCTAACTCTGCACGTCTCCGAGCACTTCCTCATTCACTACATGTTTTTGACTCTCACGACACGTTCCCGGGATTATCCTCTTCCTCGTCTGCTAGCAATACGAAAACGAAACCAGTTTCCTCGAGTACTCAGCATAAACACGAGGGGTTACTTTCTGGCATTCTAGCGGAGAAGAGGCTTGAGCTGAAACGAGGAGCACAGGTCATGCTTGTCAAGAATGTGGATGAAATTCTCGTGAATGGATGTGTTGGAAGAGTCGTAGGATTTTGGACGTACAGAGAGGTCTGTGTTGCGAATGGCAATCAGAAGGTTGGATCCGGTAGTGCTCTGAAGACAACTGGAGCTGTGAGGAATGTGAAGTTAGACTTGAACGGAGAGTTGGTCACTACCTCGGGGAAGGAAAACGCGCCAGAAAACAAAGAGAATGTCCCAGGAGACAAGGTGCCTTCCAAAGCAAAGCCAAAAATGAACCCCAAGGACGAGGAAAGGTTTCCGGTTATCGAATTTCCAACTCCTGAAGGAGGTAAAGAAGCAGTCCTATTAATGAGGGATGAATTCAGAGTAGAGGACTCTGAGGGAAAACTACTAGCACGAAGGATGCAGGTGAGCTGGTTTATATACTAATTCGTCTATGTTTCTCAAAGGTGTGCTTTATATCTATTTAGGTTCCCTTAATTTTGGCTTGGGCCATGTCGATACACAAAAGTCAAGGCCAGACTATCCAGCGAGTCAAGGTCGATCTTGGAAAAGTCTTTGAGAAAGGTAATAGCCCAGTGGCTGTATATACACGCATACACTGATGGCTATTAATTACGAACTAAATTCTAGGTCAAAGTTACGTTGCACTCTCGCGGGCAGCATCTTTGGAAGGCCTACAAGTCCTTAGGTTTGATCCCAGGAAGGTCCGTCATTCATCGGAGGACCGACTTTTTTCAATGCGCTGCGTTTAACTTGCTGTCTAATAGGTTATGGCACATCCGAAGGTTATCGAGTGGAGTAAAGCCTTGCTCGTTGTCAAGAAAGACACCGAATAGCTCAGTCGAGAATGTTTACTGAGCAGGCATTCTTTGTCAGGCTCCTGCAGTCCAGGGTTATGGCCAGGTTAAAATACAGTTGAGTGTTCAACGCGGCAGATAAATTATCAGTAATATTATGGTCTGATAGAAGTACGCTAGGAAAAATGTAATGATACTTTTGTCGTAATACTGTAGTGCCAATCCACGCCAACTAACTGTTCATTCGTTGCCCGCCAATTACAGGGCTCTTGGGTTCGGTTGTATTAACAATTTCGTCTTTGGGAGCATCGTTTGATAAGAAACGACTTTAGTTGCAAGAATCTTGGGGTCTTGAATGGCGATTGGTATGTAGATCGAGATCTAGGTATATTGCTGTGAGCTGAATTGCCGATGAAATTGGAAAGACGTTTGTCCATGATGGGGGAGTAGTATTCAGTGCGATGGTTACTCCAGTGTCGAGAGCAAAAAATAGGGTAGGCTTCTTCCCTTTGTACACGTTCACCTTTGGGGATACGTTTGCCAGCAATTCTGGAGGCGATAGATATACGAACTACGGGTAGGTTTCGTGATTTCATCGATCTCAGCTTGCATGCTTCGTAGGTCCTCCTAAAGTTCAAATATCCTACTCAATGGACCCTGTCTGCAACACGTCTACAGTTTTTCGAATGGTTCAATATCTAATCATCCAGGAGCATGGTTTCTTGCGTTGGGTCGGTCTGCTAAGACATAGACATACCCAACATCGAGGCTATCATAGCTGTATATAGCTCGATTTACACATTGTTACTAAGTAGCGGTAAATATCAGATTATTGATTTTAGTTATTCAAGTCATATGAAATAAATACTCACTTCGAGATACGTTGTCGGACACTAACAGGTACGAATTAATTCATATGGGCACCAATGCCAGAACTCAAGTCGCCTCGTTGCAAACACATGAGACTTCTAAGTTGGTGCGCGACGACCACTGGGGGTGGTGCAAAATCACACATCTCAGAGCATGTGCTATCTCATTTTCTGCAACGAGTCCGACAGGTCCGGGAAATCTTCAAGTACACCACACTCTGGAGTTCGGGCATTCACGAGCTACCATTTTCCCCCTGAGTTTATAGATCCTCAAATCAGTGTGCTTTGGTTTATTAAATAGTGTCTGATCCCTACAGCTTCAAATGCTCGATATGAACGATTTTTTCTTCTTGATAAAACGTTGACAACACATAACGGTCAATTTGGCGTTTGCGCACAGAAACTACGTCGACATATTCAACCGATAGCGCTGGCGATAAAATTACAGGTGTACTCACTACCGCAACAAATTTTTGGGGCTAATTAGTATACTCGAACTCGATTGCGTCAACGTGTTTCCCTAGCACATCCTGTACCGTGTTTTGAAAATCCGTAGATAATTCATCTCCACGACACTGAAACCTGAGCATTGATATCGGCGCCCCAGCTTTTGTCCGTGCTTGCAGTAATTGAAGCAGCATATAAAAACTAGAATGAGGTCCCCTGAGAACCAATGTCTGGAGAGTAGGCCACAACACCTGGCTGTCAAACCTGAGATTTATTTTACGAGCCAGCGATGTCATGTCCCTCTCCGAAAAGATCACTGGATAACTTATGCCTTCAGACTGGGACCATATCGGGTCGTATTTTTCTTCGGATATCAAACATAGAGGAGGCCATTCGAAGTTTTCACTATACGGGATTACATTGATGATAAGCGCTCGCAGCAGCATGCTGTCATGGTGCAACGTGATGGTCGTGACGCCCTTGGGTAAGGTTTCAATGAACCAGACCAGAGTGTGTGGATCTCCGATTGGAAGATTGACGGACAAGGAACATAGGGAAGTACAGAAGTTGCCAACTTGCTGGTCCAAGACTGTCCTATGTTCCAGATTCATATATTTGCACCGCTCGTCAAATTCCACATCGACATAGAATTCTTTAAGTTTCGGTGTTGATATAGACTTCAAAACTGCTATTACATCATCAGTGGTGTAACCCGAGCCCGTCAACGTCAGGAAACGAAGATTGGGCATGAATATCACGCGCATATGCTCCCCCTCGGCATGTATGAAAGGCTTACGAATAGCGAGATGTGAAAGGGAGGGTAGACCACGCAGGATATCACTGAATTCACCATATCCATTACCCATTACGTTGAGAACTAGGGACGACAACTTGTCATAAAAGACAGGTATGTTCAGCTTCGTCGGCGATACATCAATGAATTCCAGGGATGATAAAGCTGGTGTGCCACCCTGCAGTAAAAGCAAAGGAAGCAAGCTATCACGAGGAGGAGAGTCGACTTCCATACCGAGATGCTCGAGCGACGGTGCATACGCATTGGTGAACTTCGAGAACACATCTTGTCCTGCATTGATGGTAATTCTACGCCAGCGGTCAATGCACGACAAGGCTGCAGCAACTATCCTATCCTTGACCACTGCCCCTTGCTGAGAATCCGCAGATCGATGCATGACAGAGTTGGGACCAATAAGGTTGCCAACGGAAAGGTCGACAAATGGACCTTAGGTCCGTTAAAAGGGAAAGTATGATTGTGAAAATTGCTGAGATAGTCTGAGGGATAACTTGCAGCGGTAATCTTGACTGTGCAATCAACGCGCAAATCGAGGCCCTGACTACCAGACCTCACGATGTACACCTCTGCCATCGTAATTGTGGATGAGTTGATGAGGATGTTCGTCCACAACGATGAAGTATGTAGAGCAACGTCCCTCCAGCGTCGCGAGACATGCGATATCCAGATCTCGATATGCCCCTTCCCTTTGTGTGCCTCCTTTGCCACTTGGAATACATTTGCTAGTAATTCATCCGGGAGGCAAGAGATATACGAAGTTTGAGTATGACTCATGAGTTCATCTGCTTCAGCTCGCAAGCCTCGCAAGCCCTCCCGGATATCTTATTCTATCTAGTAGCTCCTTCTCTCTCGTCCGTAGGGCCTGCAACTCCTCTACCACTTCTCTTTCTAGTATCACAGCAGCACTCATTTGCGCTCTGAGGTCAGCCAGAGACCGCTCGACGTCAGCATCATCGCTCGCTCTTCGCATGATACTATGACTAGAACTGATCAGCGTCTTAGCCATTGGTGGAAAATGTACTTCGTGCGCTTTGTACAGGATTCGTTGACTTCAAGTGCAGGTCAGATCTGCAAGGCGCTAGAAATGAAGTAAATTCGCCACAGTTGAAGCTTTACGTTGAAGAGCGGATTGGAAAAGCGGTAGTAGTATAGCCTGATCAACCGTGACCGCCCAGTGGCAGTCGATATTTATGTAGGCTCAGAACCCAAACTTCCAATGCTCAGGCGCTGATGAGATTAGAATAGTGCGATTTGATAGAAATACACGTATTTACAATGTTGTTATAATGTCATTCATACTAATGATAGTCCATCACGCGGAGTAGCATTTAGCTCCTCAAGCATCAGACGCTGCCTTTTGCTTGCGTAGACCACCGCCGAAAGTATCTCTAATCATCCCCCGACTGATATCCGATATAGCCTTGCGACTTTCCCACAGCGGCAGGACCGATGTGATGAGTGCTGAGATAAACAACCAGATAACACAGACGATAACCCAGCCTTTGAAGAATTTTAGCGAAAAAATGTAATGGGAAAGGAACATTGGGATTGGAATTAACTGCGCTATATGTCAGTCACACGGCAAGAGAAACGGGGGTGGATCTGTCTTACGAAAACGATGATAAAGCTCATGATCAACGCAGCCCAGGTAGCGATTTTCAAAGACTTCTTTAGCATCTCGTAGTCTTCGGGTTGCTCGCTGAGTAAGTCATTCTCCTTCACAGAAGACTCCTCGGTAGTAAACTCGGCCTTTTGTTTCTCTGCGCCTGTAGGGGTTGGAGGAGCGTCTGCAACTCCTGACGAATTTGCGCGTTTATCAAGATCTCGACCCCGGGGATTGATTCTCTTAGTCTCTGACCAGTCAAAGTCGTTGTCGGGTTTGATGAGCGTAACGACGACAGAAATAAGAGTGCCTGAACAAAATGCTCCCATATTTCCCGCCAAGTTGGGATACAAGGCACCTAGTAGAATTTATCGTGTCAGTTTTGGTGGGACTGAAGCTATTGAAAAGGAAGACCCACCCGTGCTCGCTATGGTTAGCTCTCCGTAATAAGTCTTCGCAACTACCAGCCAACCAATGATACCAACACAGAGACCGCCCAAGGCACCACTGATAGCTGCAGCACGAGTTTGCTTGCGCCATACTACAGTGAGGATGATGGGTCCAACGGCGCCCGTGAAGAGTGTACCAGAGAAAAGGTAAAGCCAGTTCAATGAGATCCCGATGCCATTCCAGAGGCAAGCCACGCAGGACATGATGATAGCCCATACACCAACCATGATATGTGAAATGCGGATAAGAGCTTCGGGAGAAGCCTAAGAAGTCGATAGGGTTAGCGATTTCATTTCAAGAAGAAGCGAAGGAGGTGCACATCTGGTCTAAAATGGATCTGATAAATATCGAAAGTCAAGATCGAGGACGTGGCTATCATCTCGGATGACGCTGCAGACGTGACCGCCATGAAAGAAGAATTAGCTGATAAATACAGTTTATCGTTAGCATATTTAGCGTAAAATGATCAAACTCCGGTACCATTGCTGCGGCGCCTCCGCTACTAGAAGAGTCACCACCCCAGCCGGTGCCGCAAGACCAGCATCGGTTTGAGCCGTTGTGAGACCACCTGGATATGGAAATTTCGAATCTATAAATTATGGTTAGTCCTGGATGAGTGTAAGTAGCATAAGATGTTCCTATTTACTATTGGCTAAGGCGACTGCTGCAAGACCCATAACGGTGGAGAACGTAAGTGGAACGGCGAACCAAGCAATACCACCCAACAAATAAGCTCGAACAGCTGTATTGGCTTTCGAGGCAATTGCTCGTTGCCAATAACCCTATGAAGTCATATGATTAGCCACCAAAAAAGGCAGAGCTACAAACTGAAGGATACCTGGTCCAAAATAACCGTGCCAAACGAACCGCTCATTTGAATTATCATGAACACCAATCCGTCTAATGATCGCTTCTCAGAAATACACTTGTGACTAGTACTAACAGCAGCACTGACTGTTTGATTTCAAAGTCAAGTACGACCCATCTTGATTGCCATTGACAGGGCGATCTATGCTGGCTTGCTGAAGGAGACGATACATACCCTCGAGACCACCAATAAGGTCGGCTTCGACGTAGGTGTAGAAGAAGAAATACAGGATGACGATCATGAGAATGAGAGTGTGAGAGTAGTCGCCTTCATCGAGGATGATCAGTTCCGTGAAACAAAGACTTGAAGAGAAAGACCCACAAAGGAACGTTGCACGCAGACCACCCAGGATGACATAAATGACAACACCGAGTGGTATGAGGAAGTTCGCTGCGTATATGTTCATCCCGGTGAAAGCGTTCACCACTGCACTACCTCCCAACAAAAGCATACTCGACACGATCAAATTTGTGACCAACGCAAACGTCGCGAATATGAAGTGCGCTGCGTTACCATAGCGAGCGTGCACGATCTCGAGGTATGTGTGACAGTACGGTGCGATCATCTTGACGCGAACGGATAGAATCGACATCACGAAAATCTGGAGAGTAGCACCTGCCGCATAATAGTAGCCTCCGCAAAGGCCATACTCGTAGGTTACCGTCGAACTTTGTAAAAGAGTAGCTGCCCAAGTCCATGCAGACACAATGCCTGAAGATATGAGCCCAGGTTTTACGGAACGAGAAGCAGTGTTGAACTCTTCAGATGTGGCTATCTTGTAGCTTGTGTATCGGTTTTGTAAAGTCGAAAGCCCCATCATTATGACGGCAAAAACTAGGCCGATTCCGAGAACTACACCATAACCCGTCCCCTGAGACAAAACTTGAGAACCTTCAGTGGACATGGCGGCAGATGCTGAAGAAATGCGACAAACCTGGAACTCTGTTGATAACGACAATTTTAACTGACAACCTTCGATGAACCTGGGCCAAATCGGGTGACTGTTAATGCAGCGATAAGAGAAATGATGGATACTTACGTTATCATTGGATCATCCATCTGACATCCCACCAAGAGATAAGTAGGTTGTGTGCTAAGTTTACTGCTGAATAGCCGCCCGCTATAGGGACCTGATGCTGATAAGCTCCTCCAGGGTCATGTCCCAAACAGAATATCCAATTCCTCCTGCATTCGAAGTGGCTGTAGTGCCTTACATCGTAAATTCTCTTGGAACTGTCATAGCCGTTGGCTGAAGCGATGAAGTGCTCCCATAGGCCTAGCAGCTCTTATCTTTAACCACAGGTTTGATGTTAGTGACCGACACGTCGTGAGACGAAGGTACCACATTCATATATTCTCGTCAGAGAACGCCCCCAAGGTTGCCGAGATAAGCCAGTGAGATCATGGCAAACTACACTTAGTTGACTCCTCGTATACCTTAAACCAAGAAGAAACCATGCGAACCGCGTTTATAGTGGCGAGAGTAAGAAACGTATAGATGCGAAGACTCAGAAATCTAGTAACTTGGCCTTGAACTTGGCAATGAAAAAGAGGAGACCTTTAGCGCCCAGTCGCGGGATGGGTATCGGGGATTGAATATGGTCAAGTTCAAAACCACCGCGCGTTGTGTTTCTTATCTTTGTTCCTTATCATGGTATGCTTACCATAGCACCTGACAGTGCACTTTCACCCCACACGACAATTTTCATTCTAAATATAATTGGGCTCTGGCATAATGTACGTGACTTCGCTTTCAGGCTCGCACATTCCTTGGTTACTTACCTATTACAGAGGGAAAATCAATATCCTTCTGTATCATATGGTCGCCCCCTGTTGACTTCTCAGCCGTAAAGCTATTTGCTACCTCACCGCGGTGATAGAAGCAGCCGGTTTCCTAGCATAAATCACTCTAGGCTTGCGCGATCATTCTTTCAACGCTAGGGGTTAAACGCTAATCAACCCGGAGGCCTAATAACGTATGCGAATTCACACTTCATACTCCACTATAAGATGCTCACCTTTTCGCGATAGTCATTTAATAATGTAAATCGGTGGGTGTCAGTCCACGTATTTCCATACATAATACAAGCATCTGTATAATAGCAAATACTATAGGACACATAGTACGTATAAGATAATGATAGGTGTGGCTTTTCGTGTGTCTGACTATTTTACCAAACCCGGTTCCGTCCGCTCCTGCCGCAGCGTCTTCTTTGGGGGATCGTCCTCCTTTGGTACCCTGGCAAATATCATAACCACCGACAAGAAGAGTTATGCGAGCGAGACATAATAACGGTAAGACCAATCCTCACCGCCTGTTCAGAACACCACTCTCCCGAGTCCAAAATCTCTTCCCGCATGACTGAGTAAGCTATGTGGGGTCTCAGTCAGTTTCTTCAAGCAGCCTTGTATCACGTCTTCAAGGTAATTTACTTACAAGTCTGAATAGGTGCTTAAAAACTCAGCACCAGATCCAGAGTTGTCATATCTTTGCCCAAATTACCTACAACCTCATATTTCAATTTAGAACCACTGGTACTCAAGGTGAATATGACTTTATATGTACTGTACAACATGAAATAATATGCAATTCTTGGTACTTATTCATCGAAATATCATCACACGCCAGATTTATCCGGTTACTTCGTTGATGGACATCCAGTCTTGCGCGTGAGCCGGAGTCAAATGGGAGGACGGACGAATCTAACATGATTCAGGTGTGAACAATCACAGCACACCATCGCTCCTGACCGCACATTGACCAAAGTTGAGTTTAGTCAGGCCTTCTTCTTTCGGTAAAATATCCTTAGATCATAGTACGATTTATAAATGCACTTCGAAGCGGACGTTAAGATAAACTCACATGCTCAAAGATTCCGAGAGGAAGAGCCAGAGTGACACAGGCATTGGGCGAATCCTAATAGTGGAAATATGTTAAGCCCCGCCCATAGTGATATATATTGGTATACTCACGACTACGGCACCGACGTGACTCTCAACCGGGGCAGCAGACAACAGAAGGTCTGTAGAAGAATGGTAAGGGATGCCTAATCGAATGAAACAAAATCACGAACAGGCCTGCTCCCGAGCTCGAGGTTACATGAGGAGATTTAGTGATCAGCATGCTCGGAAAATGAGAAGAACAACCCACTGTATCCAATCTGATGGGAAACGCTCTGTTAATCTCAAAATCTCCAAAGCTAGGGCAAAAGACTTACTTTTTGCAAATACGCAATGGCATTGAGAGCAGCTTGCTTATAAGCGACAGTCCTTGAAAAAGAGGGTCTGGTTTACCCCATCCTGAGGACGGAGACTTGAATGACATGTACTTACGCGTCCATGTTATACTGTTTTCCATCGCCATCTATTAAGGAAGGACGAAACTTGTCTCAATCATGAGAGAAGTATAGAGGACATCACGTACGGTAATCGACACTAATGCCTTCAAATACCAGCTGTAAGTAGGGAATGAGTACGAGTCTCTGTTTGAGAGATAGTCCGCACTTACCTTTGACGAATAAAGAGGGTCAATAGGAGAAGGCTTGTAGCTCACGATTAGCATGGGATGCTCTCAGATAGATTGTCAGACTCACCAAAAAGATGGGTTGTTTTAAGGCAAACTTCTCTATGCCACCTTTGATAATACTGGTACTGAATTTTATAACACCAGCCTTGGTTTGCGAGTCAACATAAGAAAAGTAATTTTATTCGAAGGGGATAACGTACCATTTCGATAGCACCACAGAAGGACAGCTAAGGTCATATTTATTTACGATTATCGTGACAACAAGGTAAAGCATACCTCCCCCTGTGGAAGACGTCAATAATGAAGAGAATCAAAAGAACAACCCGGGAGGACGTACATCACCTTGAGAAAAGTGCAAGTCTCCAACAGAGAGATTGGCGCCTTTCACGAAGACAGGGAAATAACATCGAGAGCCTCTTGAAGGCAACCATTATTTAGTGCTTAGCCTGAGAGCTGTTGATGAATCCACTGTACCTCGACAAATTCTTGATCTATCGAGCCAATTGTATGTTTATTTTTACGTGTATCTCTCAAGGCCAAGATAGGCCACTCACATCACAGTTACCCCCATGCTCCCTTCCTGGAATTGTTCTCGCACCTTCTCTGGCAATTTTCTTCATTACCTCTTCCTCGAGATCTTGTCCAACGTATGCACCCTTTTCCAAGGGGCCATACGCCACGGGAGGGACAGAGTTAGCATGCGCTTCTATAAGTGCACCCTCCCTCGCATTCCAAGTCGCAAGAAGCTCGTGGGATGGTGCAGTTCCAATTAGACCTGGATGGGATACTCCAGCGAAACGAACGCCTGGGATATGTCTGGATGTAGCGTAAATACCTGTGCAGAATCGAGACTTTTGTTAAGCGTGGAACAATGCAGAAAACTCTCTTCAGCTGACCCTTGAAATCCCAGATGGCTTTCGCGGCTCTACTATTGAATTCTCGAGCTAAAAAAACAAGCGTTATAAACAGACTACGTGGCATAACGCCACATATCCTCACCAAAGAGCCCACCACCATTTTCCAGTTCAAAAATTCCCTGTTCGAGGTTAAAGACACTAACACTGGGCAATACAGAATGGAACATACCGTATATCCCCATGGCATTTTGTCAAAAGGCCTCACTATTATAAAGGAAAATAGAATGATCAGGTCCATCCCTACGTGATCAGTGGTAGGTTCTACCATCCAAAATGTCTACAACAAGACAATCCCCAGGCTCCGCACCCTCAACGGCTATAGGACCGGATAGGTTATGAATTTTACTAAGGTCGATGTTCTGGATATCGTCGCTCGCTGTCATAGAAAAAAAAGGTTATAAGTACATCACAAGCTCATGCTGCACAACACATGTTAAGCGCACTATCGTTGTTGCCAATCTGAGCACCAGTCCAATCTAACATTGTTAAGTATTTATTAGCACCAGCTATGGTAAATCCGTGCCAGGAGTGGCTAACTCACCAACACAGTGAATATCAAAAACCTGGTATCGAGCGTTAGTTATCGCATATAGCCCCTATGCTACTGCCTCGTGAACTTACCTGGCCAGGTTTAACAGTAGCAAACGCTGGGATGTCGGGACTATAAAACAACGCATGTGGAAATTACATATTTCGTATATCTTGAGACTCACTGCCAGCGATTGTGAAGACCCTGTGGGTATGAAATGTTAATGCAATGTATTCTGAACGAACAATATCCACTCGCCTTTTGTTGGTCTGCAGGACTGGAACATACCTTAAGACCATAGTTCGCAGGACTGATTCATCACTCACATGAAGGGGTCAACCTGCCCAGACACGAATCAAGTTAAAGTTGTAACTTCAACGTTGCGCGCTGCAGAGATTCTCACCTCGACCAAAATTTCGTGAGGCACAGAGTTTGCTACGGTAGCCATCGAAAGTCGTACAACGTGTGCGAAGGTGATTTCTGAAGGATAGAAGAAGAGAGTTCAGCCAGTCCAATCGAACTGAGAACCCGTGGGGCATTTATGGGCCATCACAATTCATGCTCAGATAAGGTCAACATTCCCAGTGGCGGTCCGAATGGCGTGCGGAAGCTCGTTATCTTGACAAGGGTGGAAGTTATGATGTCGATGCCAACAGAAGACATAAATTTGGTTTCAGTTGATAACATGACCACCTCTTTTGACACTTCTGATGATGATTTTCCCATCAGCCATTTACATCCAAGTAATGGAATTAGGCCAAAGTCGTAGTTTCTCATCGTAACTCATTGCTGAAGAAATGAGAATGACGTCGTTGTTGTTGAGACTAAGCTCGCACTTCGGAGCGTCACATTTTCAAGAGCTATCGAGATGTTGGTGTCAACATGAAAAAATTAATCTTCTATATTGAAAACGAAGTTAGATCGACAGGAAAGCATCGGTGACATGAGAAGACGTTGATCACCTGATACTAAAGCCGATGTATATGTACGTTTGATATAGATGAATAAACTCATCGTTAGCTCACTTGTGATGACGGCGGACGGCTTTCTGTTTTCTGACGAACGGGGAGGCATTCCTTATCACTCCTCACTAAGAACTCATTCGAATGTTCCAGCGAAAGGAAGGATCATAATCTCAGTAGGACATTACCAAGTTCTCGTGAAATAAAACAGGGTGGAAACTCAGCTTCATTTTATGGACAGTTCTTCAAGATGCTCAAAGTAAGACTTCTACAGCATATTATTCGTCCCTCAGTTACATCAAAACTAGAGCAATCGTCGAGATAGCTGTCGCGCCGAGCACTGCATACCCGGTGTTGTATGCTCCTTTAACAGTCAGGACTGGTAAACGACAGATGAGTTTTGCAACAAAACACCCATAAAGATAATGTGGAACGTACATTTGCCCATATCCCAGCCCAAATGCCGAAGGCCATTCCAAGAATGGAATGCAAAAGGCAAGGCAAGTACGAATTTACCACAATATTTAACGGCATCTGGTAAACCAGCAACAAATTCGACGATATGAGCGCTGTCGAAAGTACCAGGGGCGACGAGGTAGGCGAGCGAGAATCCGTACAGAACTGAGAATTGGTTCCCAGTTAGACGTTAACAAAATATGCCAATTCAACACAGAATTACGTACGTGCACTGAGGGCCCCGCCAGTCATACGATTAACGATAGAGCCAATCCATGTCAACTGCGGTTGATAGATTGTGAAATGTGGGCTGGAAGGACGTTTTATGCGTTGTTTGTTCAAAATGTCTGTTGCGGCCGAAGGCGGCAATGATTCTGTCTGAATTCCCCTATATGTTGAAAGACAACAAAGAAGTGAGAACTTCAAGCCTGGTATATTGGATTTGCATACCTCTTGAACAAGGCCGTGCGCAAGACGACCTGGCTCCTCGCTGCACAACATCCACGCGTAAATACGATGATTTAAATCCAGACGATATTTGGTTACTTACCAAACCTGGGGGCAAAAGCAGCTTTTCTGAGGGCTGGTCCAAGTCCTACAGCACGAGTGGACATCATGGTGGAGGAAAGAAAGAAAGATCGTGTAGGATGGCGGCGACGACGGTGAGAGAGGTTGAGGATGTCGGCGACGGTGATAGACGGACTCGGAACCGACGGGCAACTCCGCATTCCGGCTCTATCACGTGCTCAATGTAGAAAATCACACTCTTCGGCGACATCTGACTCACAGCTGGAACGTCTGAATGCTTGAAAGCTTGAACTCTCATGCTAGAAATTCTCCATCGTGTGCTCACATCTGGCACTTGTTCTTGTTCTTTCTGCTTAATTTTCATTCACGGCGTACTACAACATACAGAGTGAACGGATAATATCGCCATATACATATGACATGGATTCAACGTGCAAGATCATCTCCAAGGGCCCCATACTAAATAATACAACAGTTCATACGAAAACGAAGGTCGAATGTGTCTAGTGCACTGTGAAAACGAAGTGTGTGTGCACAAAAAAAAATCCCTTGAAGATCCCCTACAGCGTGCTCGGTGGTGAATGGATGGATGGATGGATGGTGGTTGATCTGCACAAAAGTTGTCAGAATAAAGTAGGTGAAAACGTCGAGACACAACTCACATCGCATATTACATGTCCCTAATAAGTTAATAAAATGCACCCTATGCTCAAGCCTCATGCTACGACGCAATATGAGTTACCACCACTACTCGTGCTCTCTTCATCAACTGGACTCGAAGATGTCATGTTATCGTCCTCAACTTTGGGCGTGGAGAAGATGGCGGTGAAGGTGGTGAAAGAGTCCATTGCGAGTGGAAAATGGAGAGGATGAGTGAAAAATAGGTGGAGGGTGTCGCGGTAAGTCGTTAGTGAAATCGACTGTTTGTGGAACGAAGGCAGGTCCTTTCGCACTGAATGGTAACGCCCAAATGAATACCTGCTTTTATATTCAATAGGTATGGAGAAGTATGACCACCATCCTCGGCATTTTAGCGAGGTAGCCGTACGAGGTTCCGAAGCTAATTGTTATGTGAGTCCATGACGAAGCAGTGTGTGGACACGCCTAAAGATGACATGTGGTGTTGTTCCGTAGAGCGTCAAAAAAGTGGACACAAAACAATAAAGGGAGCCGGGAACATGTCTCAGGTCGCTAGACCAAAAGTAATGCAACTTGCGTTCAACAATAAGAGAAATCTCGATCTGAAGGACTTACCATATATGGTAATTCCGTACCGGTGCAAACACAAAAAGAAAGTCAAAAATCGGAATGGGTGAAGAGCAACCAGCAAATCAGATATTCCTGCAGTGAGAACGCCTTAAAAATAGTGGAGGAAAATGTCCCAGACCATTTCTAGTATGTATAGACAGTTTGAGAAATTTTCGCCGTTCCTGTAATATGTAAATACTCACTAATGGCCACGACAGTTTCACTCAACCTGTACTGTCACTTCGAGCGTGCAATCAGATAGCAATCAATAAACAACCGTTGACAAAGAGAAGCATTGCCGAAGAACGCTAACAAAACGTAGCAGAAAGCCGGGATGACCACCACCCTTTCAACGTGCCGATAAAGTTTGGACTATATCATCCGGATAATGCGGAAAGTATGAGTACCTGGTGTAAACAATAAGAAATCGAGACCACGTACTACATCTCGGATGAGTAATCGACCAACCCGGTCCTCTAGCCTCCACCCAGTTGCGCAAAGAATGATCAGAAGACTGTCGACTGGAATGAGCCCGAGTTCAGGTCCTAGCGTTGATCGCGTCAGCAATGCAAACTCGGTGCTCTCCAATGAGCGTCTCAACAAAGAAGCTGTGGCTAAGAATATGTAAATTCATCCCAGACAATACGTGAGACTCGATTGTAAAAACAACACACAGAACTCGAGAATAGACGCATTCTTCAAGAACAGCGGGAAATACATCCCACTGCAAAAATCCTTTGGACGCTATGGATTGTGTAGTCCGTTACGCAAATCAAGGTCCGAGGAAGCCGAATACACTATTGTCTGCCTCGTACCGCGACGCGGCGAGAGCACAAGGCTGAAGAGCGATGCTCCGGGTATCACTTTGGCTGCGGAGGAAGCCACGGACCGTAGGACAATCTGCCTTGACAGGAAAGGTACTACATCAACGAGCGACGGACCGTCTGAAGCTACTTGTCCATGATTGTTGCCATCTTTTCAACGTTCGGGAGCGCTTTGTTACCGAGTAAATTTGTTGTCGCAAGTCCATCCATTGTATGACAATACAAGCAATACAGTTGCACGAGTTCAACGTTCAGTAGCAGCGTTATTTTTCCTGTCATCGAACATCATCTGGTTTACCATCGCCTGTTCGCCGATGCTTCCCGCGAGGAGTACTGGAGAACATTTTCTGAATGCGGCCAGGTGTACATATAATAGTATGCTCTCCTGTTGGAAGCATCCAAAGTGAGCGAAGTATGTTTACTGATTGAAGGAACTTACTTCAATTTGACTACCCCAAGTGTAGTTATTTGCAGGTATCTTGTTGATACGGGGAATGAGATACGTACACTGGTGGCATAATATAATATTTACAAATGCTTTCATGTCTCTGGATAGAAGCATTGTCATCGTGATCGGTCGACGATTCGAAAGAATGCCCATGGGACTTCACCGAGTGTTGATGCACTTACCCCAGATCATACGAGTAGCAACAATGAACAGCGTTGAATCCAGCCAAAGAAATGAGTGGATCGCCCACTATTGATTCCATGTCCAAGGAGTTGTGACCACTGCCAGTGACACTGACAATAACGAATGCATGAAAATTTCCCAGGCTCCTTACACTGAGGTCAGTACTGCAGTATTGTAGCCTTGTCACGCATCACACTCACCCCCGCGTCAACCCCTCGGATTCCTCGAACCTAGCACAAGTTTGGGTCATGCTGAAAGTCGTCGAATGAAAGGTCGAGTAAGTACCGGCCCTTTACACGAGTAGATGCGACTTCGATATCGATATCTACGCACTTGTCACTGAACGTGTGACATTTCTTACCATCTGTGACACCGTGTGACAGACCGTGACCTGACCATACGTGGTCTTCCACCACCAGTAGAGCGTGTAGTATGCAGACAAGTCTTATGGTAGCATGATAACAGCTTCTTGGATGCATCGTTTGGCCAGTAAAAAGGTGCTTTTTGCTGTTGCATTTGTGGCCATTCTTATTCCGGCCACTTTCCATGCAATATCCTCCCCCGCCGTGTTCATACTTGTTTTACCACTCACTCTGGTCCTTGCTGCGGTTGCGTATTTGCCATCGACTGTCTTTCTAGGCTACAAGCTCGATGCGCGACGGAAGATCCAAGGGAATGTCCTCTCTCGTGCTTCTCGACCTTTCTCATTTTGCACGCCGGCTGCATGGCAAGCCGTCCTAACACGCTCAGAATGGTCCCAGAATTTGCCGCAGTCCTTACCCTCTGTGTACCCAGCAATGCCAACCGCATCTTCTGCTCTTAACGATATCATGATCTTCATTGTACGCGACTTTGTACTGGCATGGTACAAGGACCTCTCGTCCTCCCCATCTTTCCCCACAGCCGTTTCATCTGTACTCCACGACTCTGTGGAACGTTTGGTCCATCAAATAACTGTCGTGGATCCTTCCGCTCTTCTCGTCATGCGCATATTACCCATGGTCACTGCTCACATCGAGCAGTTTCGCCAGGCCGAGATAGCTCTTCTTGAGACTGGCTTAGGACGACGCCTACGGCAATCAGAGGAGGTAGATATGCTACTAGCTAGCAAGTACGCAACAATCGCTGGAGGAAAGCTGCATCCAGCTGTGGAAAATCTCTCGTCTACTTTCACGCGGCAAAGTGAAGAGATGCATCTGAGAGAAACGATCGACAAAGCTCTTTCTAGCCTTCTTCCTGAGAGAGAATGTCAAAGCAAGGCGGTCAGGGTAGTAGTAAGGGAAATTTTAGCATGTGCAGTCTTTTACCCGATCATGGACATCATCTCAGAGCCCGATTTTTGGAATCGTATCATAGACCAAGTGGTACGCATGGACATTTGGTCATTCGACCCCCTTTCTTACCCATTTTTCCAGGCAGGTGCTGCTATACATCAACAGTAAGATTATTGTTTTGAAAAATCATTGTTCACTGTTTAATATACATAAGCAGAAGGCTTATATCCCGAGTTCGAAACGTCTTAGAAGCCCAATCACCATCTCGCCATAGCCGTCACTCCTCGTTTACCGATCCTCTTACAGATTCCGATGTTGTCAACACTGTCCACCAAGTCGAGAAGATTGCTAATAATATTGATAATTGTTTATCACTACCGGACGCTCAAAGGCTGAAGGATGATATTGTGGAAGAAATTAGCAAAACAAGATTACTCTTAGGTAAAATTTAATGTTTTTTACTGCACATTGGCTTGATTAGTATGGTTCACAGTCAGCCCCAACAAGAAAGAACTGGATCATGGTAAAAATACCGAGGATATTATATTTTTCCTGGATCGACTTCACGCTGCAAGGCGGAAGGTAGAGAAGCGAATATCTGTGCTAGGTAGCGACGGATACTCGGTGAGATTCACTCCTATTTCGTGATAATTCAGAACTCACTGTTTTACACAGATGTCACCCGACTCTTATGACGCTGGAATTAGGACTCGGTTGACGCTTCGCGAAGTGCTGAAAACCCCTAATCTTGTACCCTTCTTCATGGAATTCATGGAATCTCGCCACCGTTCTGTACTCGTCCAGTTCTGGCTCACCGTCGAAAGCTTCAGGCACCCACTTGAGCCTACAGACTCAACCTCGGAGGCTGATGATTATTTTATCCAAAATTCATCAAGCCCATATGTTCTCAAGGACGATATTTCCATGATCAAAAACCTTTATTTTTCCACTTCAGAGCTTCATCCTTCTTTATCCATCATATCGAAGGAATATGTTGATACTGTCCGTTCATCTGCGAGCGGCACACTTCCACTTTCCCCCACAACGGAGAGGAAGGTACATCGAAGTATCATATCAGCTCAGAGGCAAGTCGAGCAAGAGATGGAACATGACTATGACGAGTTTGCAAGATCAGACCTGGTTCAGGATATCGAATTTTCCAATCTGGAAACATCTCGGCCGTCATCGTTCAAGTTGACATCAGAAGGGCTATCCATGCCATCCTCGTCAGCCAAAGCCCCTCCTTCCGTGCTCCTAGATTCCAGTTCTACATCAAAGTCATTGCTCCAAGATTTCGAGGTTTCGCGCCAAGGTATGCCAAGGGCAGCATCAGCTTCCCTTACCTCACCGACCACTCCGAGCCCCAACATAAACTCTCTTTTCTCCCCTGCTTCTGATTCATCGTCCGAGAATTCGCGCCCCCCTCTGTTTGATGGCTCTGACGAAATATACTCAAATACTGATGAGTCACGAAGAATCGAAACTATTCGAGCCGCTGTGACAGATATTATAGCTACGGACCAGCAACAAGCTCAATGGTCGCACGCTAGGGCCGGGAGCAGTTCAAAATCCTTGGACGCCTCTCCGCGTTCGCGTATTATAGGAACACAGCGGAAGGGAATGTTTGATGACGACGACGATAACGATAATGATGACGCTGACGATGACAATGAAGAGATACCTAGCGACGAAGGGGGTAGTCACAACAAACATGAAAGGGGTTCCAATGCTGAACAACGATCTTTTCAACTCGCTGGTCCGGGAGATTTGCAGCTTTCGTATGAAATAGCTCGACTTGAAGATAAAACAGCGCGTTTAGAAGCTCAGGATGCGATGCTAAACACCTTAATCAAGAAAGCAGAACTCACAGGCGATATTCGGGAACTTAAACTGCTTCAAAAATCCAAGTCTTCTCTCAGTCGAGACCTTAGAGAACTTCGATTCCAAAAGACACAGTATGAGCAACAGGAATCGGCAAACCGTCTTATCTCGAATCGCACCGGTATAATGATTGTTAACTCCACCGTAGGTGAAGAAGGGGGCAAATCTGTTGTTCGTTACCTAGTCGAAGTCCAACAACGAGCCTTGGACGGTACCTTTGCATCTGGCTGGGTTGTGGCTCGACGATACAATGAATTCCTAAGTATGCACAATAAACTCCGGGACCGATATCCAGCAATAAGAAATCTGGACTTTCCTGGGAAACGGCTGGTCACTACACTTTCTGGCACTTTTGTAGATGCCAGAAGACAGGCTCTGGAGAAGTACATGCAGGTGCTGACTCTTTCTTTTTGTACTCGTCATTTTTCTGACTTTCGCAGAATCTGATCGCCATTCCCGAAGTCTGCGAAGGGGATGAGCTTCGCGCTTTCCTATCCCGGGAGTCGCCTTTCATGGCATCAGGACTTCAAGGAAATAGGACATCAGGGCCATCATCCATGTCAAGGACGAGTCTTGTGCGTACGGTTTATCGTTCCGTTACAGAGAGCATAGACGACATGTTCTTTGGTACCTCTATGCTGGACGTAATGGTCCAGCGCCTGACCAAACAGGTGGCAGAGGTTGTTGGGATCATTGGTTCTGCGGTCAACGACGAAGACTTCGTCGCGCAAACTTTGAAGGGATTTGGGAAGACCAATTCAGCGGCCACGTTCATGCATATGCCTGGGGACCTGAAGCCTTTAGAGGGCGAAACGAGTACCTCGACATTTTCGGCGCCAATTTGTGACTTAATCCTGACAGTCTTCGACTTGAATAAGAAGAACAATTGGCTTCGTCGCCAAGCCATTGTCATTATATTGCAGCAGGTGCTTGGTGATACCATTGAACGGTGCGTAGCTCTGTCTTTTGAAGGCCGTCTATTATAACGTTGCTCAATATGGCTCTTCAGTAAATTACGAGATGTTGTGAAGTCCTTGCTAGAGGAAAGTCATGTTATGGTGGTTATAAACTTCCTTCGGGATACTATCTGGCCTGGAGGACAATTAAAACCTTCTGGGCAACCTCGCACTGCTGAAGAAAAGCTCCGCAGTCGCGATGAAGCTAATCGCAAATTATCTGCCCTTGTTCCCGGTATGTTTATGCGATAAAAGCACATTCCGAATACTGATTGTGTGGTTGCAGACCTTGCAGCGAATATGATAGGTCGCTCCAATGTTCGTGGCGGGGCAAGTCTCGTTTTTGCTGCACTTCAAAACCGCCGACTGAATCAACACCTTGCATACACAATCGTGGATGAGGTATGACCAAATTTGCATGTGGCTGGTGTCATTTTAAATATCCTTGGTTGTCAGATCATGGCTTCAATGTTTCCAGCCGAACCATCGTGAAATTACGCTTTCAACCTCTGAGTCACCACGACAGTATATCAACGAGTAACGCTCCGCTCTAAATTCAATGTGATCTTTGAATGTCGCTCTCAGGCAAAGGATGTCGGTAATACTAGATATGATTCGAATGATTCTAGTTTACGAGAAGTGAGATAAGTGGCTTGTATTAAGTTTGTGGGCGAAAGTCATCTTTCCTACATCAACGAACGGGTATCGACGGGGTTGGTAAATGGAGATGATGAGCTATGAGGATGGGAGGGGAATGGTTTGGTGAGTGATAGATGTGATCGGTGTCTGTATCATCATCTCTTGATGATGGTGTTCATAGCAGTGTTCAAAAATTAACTGCTCTCGTTCACTGCAAGAGCTTCCGCATTGCAGTGGGTGGTGGTGGGGAAAGTATCCCCCATGTCAGACCAAATCACCGATATGACAATCGATAGTCTGAGTAATGACTATAGGTAGAAAACTAACGGACGATAGAAACATATACGCATTATGTACACCCCAGCATTCCCCAACCTCCTCTCTGCTATCTCCCTCCACTGCCCATGCGCAAGTTCAACATTTTCTCATCCCCCCATCCCAACCTCAGCACACCCCCTCAGATACCCTCTTACATCGTTCAATGCACGCCCTTTAGGTCCGAGTGTGATATAGGGATTACAAATTCGTTCACCCACTAGGCTGCAATGATGGGCGACCATGCTGTGAGATGTTCTTTGAAAAGTTGAGGCCATGTGATGGCCAGGTTGGGCGTATTCTCCTGAACGGAGTAGAGGCAATTCAGCAGTGGAATAGGAGATTTTGTAAAAGAAGACCACAAGCAATGATTAGTTTGAAACGGAGCAGTAGCGGTAAGAATTTAAAATATTGTCCTCACGACTATCGATTCCCTAAATAAGTCTCAAATAACTTTACAGGCAGAAAGTAAACTCACATCGACACCTGCAAACTCCCAATTCAGGACTGATTTGATATTTCCTTCTTCGTCTGCAAATATGGTTACCAGAGTGAACTGAAGGCTCTTTACTGTCGACCTTATTGGAGGCGCATTTGGAAGGATGACCCGTCTATCATTTCTCAGTTTTCTGTCAAGATACTCCAAGCCTCGTTGCACCATAGCAGTTACGAATGATAAGTTTTGAACCTGAAACAGGGTAGACATTTCCACAGTTTCTTCTTTGCACTGGGAAGGCTTCGCTGCCATTCCGTTTATATTTTGCCCGTTGGCCAAATTCCTGAGGCCCGAAACCCATAGCGGCGCAGTCAGTTTCCTTTCCCCAGACTTCATTCGCTTCCTAAAGCAGATATGTTATCACAGTTGTTTTTGAACGTAAAATAGCCAACCCATCAAATCAGAAACCGGATGTAGTAGATGCTGCAAGCCTGGTACTTATACAATCCATTTCTCTTTCTGGAGGCTCACTGATCCAGATTTGTCTGTAAACCTACATTATTTGTGCTTCTTCGCAACCCCAAACAGTGCAACAAAGATCAAAGTTAGTACAATGTAAGTTGCTTTATCTTTATTTACCGGCCTTACTATCTTCATACTGTCACTCACATCAATTGCTATCAGTTTCCCTATCAAAGCATTGGATCAGAGCATTGATGTCGCTGCTGGAGGCTCCGTTGGTTCCATTATAGCGCGTAGCGGTTACATCTCGACTGCAGCTCATTGACAGCTAAAGAGGATACAGCATGTTGTGATAATATCAGGGGTGCTCAGCCTTCGTTGGAGAGCATCTAGATTCCCATATCAATCATTTTATTTCCACACACTACCATCATTCGTGCATGGTTCTGCATAGATTCGTATGTGTGGCGGCCGGGGACTGTGCCAGAAAGCTCCTATTATGAGCTCGAGGGAGGTGACGTGTTTAGAGAATAGTCACACCAGTGCAGCGAGTCCGAGTCTAACCTCAGGATCAGGAATGGGAGGTTGTCGCTTACTTGAAAATTTATATGGAACCACAATTCAAAGCCAACATCATTTATGTTCAAATTATATACACTCTTCCTAAACTAATCACTTGAACAATATTCATACTAATGACCTTTTTTATATGCCTAACACAAACGTACTTGAACTTGTTTTTAAAACAACGGCACCAAACCCAGCGACTACCAAGACGCCATTCAAAGATTATTATCAGGCGCATTTGCAGACAGTCAGACCAACGACCAGCAGACCTTCTGTTAAACGCAGGTTACATCATAAGATAGATGTTTGGGGATAGGAAGATGCGACCCTGCAGGACGGAGTGGACACCTGTCAATCAGACTGGTACATTAGTGGGAGCTACATTGAACTACGGTGGCGCAATGCATGTTACCTTTAGCTTACAGGTACAAATCGCATTTCTTGAGACCCTGAACAGGGTGAGCTATTTAGTTATTTAGTGGATTCATTCTAATAAACTATCATACAAGGGAATGGAAGTGATTAAGCTCTGACACAAAAAGTTACCAGAAAGGCATGACTGGCTTACTCAATAAACATTCCGATTTCAGAGAAGTTGGTATACTGTAAATCCAGATAATGCCGCCCTAGTGATTCCGTGTCGAGCGAGAAATAAGGGGACTATATACGACAGAGGACGAGCCCTCAACGCTTTTGTTAGATTGCAAATGTTTTGAATGGTCAGACGATTCAACGTCCGTGTCCAAGCACAGCATCGTGAATTCAAGTTAGCATTGATATCTGGAGATTGAATTGCTGTGTCGGAAATGACTTTGCGCGCATCAATGACGTTAGTTTTGATTGAGAATGCTAGTTTGTATTTAGTGTTTACTAGTCTGTATGAAGCATTTGTTCGGAACATACCTTGCTTTCGTTGCTACTAGTAATTCGCATGTCTACTCTTTGAGTGCGACCTTCGAGCACGTTACATCTTACTAACGTAATGGTAAATGGAGGGATGAATATCACACTTCTAAATGCGGGCTCATTGATCACCGTCGTATAATGCCCGTGGACCAGGAGCTGTGGTCACGCTGTGATAGATGGATGTCTGTATACACGTGTATAAACTGGTTGTCTCCTTGATAAAGGCTCAGTACGTCGCGACGACTGATAGTACGTACGGCAAATGTCTTGGCCAGAATACTCAATGGTTGGAAGCCGAGTAGAGGTGAGATGCAAACGGAAACCTGAATGTCATGGGATGGATTAAACACCTGATGGGCGCGTTAATGCTGTCAAAAGAAATTAAAACAAAACTGCGGATGCTCCATAGCATAGGTTTGCGTCGGTTCAAATGTGATGCTAGTGGAGTGGGGTCGTGACTTGGCAAAGGAATCTCGTTAGTGGTTTGAATGACTGCCACTGGAGTATATTGGATTAGACAGAATTTTGTATAAATACCTTCGTTAATCGACAAAGAGAAATATCAAACAAATCCTGAGCTACAAAAGTGAGAAACATCCCCCTGCGAGAAAGAAGATTACTTACGTCAACTTTATTTAGCAATCCGACATGTTCCAATTCAACCTCCTTTTCGTCGCTGTCGCCATCTTACAAGCAACGTCCACGCTTGCAGTTTGCTCGTCGCCCGACAACACTCCCGCGGTTTGTCAAACGTCGCAAGCCAGTCCTAAAGTCAGCGACTGCCAGGCTGCTATTGAAAAACTCTCGGGACCTTGCCACCAATCCAACAATGTCGGCTCGTACTGCACCTCGTTGGTCACAGTAGGTACTTGCAAAATAGATGTGTGCGGATATCCTGGTGCAGAACTCTACTCCGGAGTAAACTGTGGGGGGTATCTTCAGACCATCCTGAACAGTTGCCAGTCTGGGGGACTGGTCGGAGGTTATCTTCAACCGGAGAAGTGTAACATTCAGTACAACGACCAACCCTACAAGTTGCAGTTTTCGCACTCTTGATTCAGGTAGGCCGCTGGCTTCATGCTATTTCACCTATTCTAAATTTCGACATGTTGGCACAGTGTTCGAGGCGATAGTAGGATTTCTAGTGCAAAGAGAGAAATAGGTACTGCGAGTTGTCTTCAGCACCAAGGGTTAAAGAGTTGCTAATCTGTACAAAAAGTTAGCCAGCGTTGTCACTATGCAATAATGTCACTGCTAAGAATAGTTGTGTGTAAAAAGGCACCTTTGGGTACTCAATGTGCGCTGAGTGAAATGTCATGACCTTCCTGGCGTTATTGGGATGAGTATGCGCTGTAAGCGCTTTTTTATTGTGCTAGTGGTGCTTGTGGAGCAATGTTGCCGATCTGTGACCTTATATCTTTGAACTCCTCACCAACGAGAGCTAAATCTAGCTGCAAAAGTAAAGATGCCACCTCACAATGCACATTGCCTGAGAATTACATGTTAACGTTATGATGGCGTACATACCAGAAATAATATTCAAGATCTTCACCGGGCCCTCCAGCTACCAGGTCCAAAATCTCTAGGACCCAGAGCAGCATCAACAACATGCATCATCGCAATGACCTTCTCGTCCTCCCATCTCTTTCCTACAATCTGTACACCTACGGGAATCCCTTTCATAGCTCCTGGATTGTATATCGCTTCGGTGCCTTTGTACATCCTGGACTCGAGGATTGGCGAGCCTCCCCCAGCACCAGGGGTCCACTCCTCTGTTAACCCATCTTTGGCAGGGTCTACTCTTGTAACCGGAATAGTACCCACAGGGCTATCGACAATGTTGTACAAAATTGTAGCACAAGCGATCGGTGATAGGTATGCACAACCACTAAAAATTTCATCAGCGAGACAGAATGATATATAAAACTCCGAGATACATACCCGTGAGGTAGAGTTGGCAAAGCTTGCACAGGTGCTATAATGCCGTCGAAATTATACTCCTCCCAAATCTGGTCCAAGGCTTGTTAAGCAGCACACTACCGTTTTGGCGACGATTTACCTCGTTGTTCCAAGCAGCTATAAGTTTATTCCTTTTATCAGCCAACTCGATATATTCCCCGACCGTTTTCTTCCGAGCGAGTCGCAAAACGCTTGCAAACATGGAATCATTCAAGAAAGTTTCCGCAGCCCAGGATACGAAGTTTCGTACAAAACCTTTGAAAAAAATCAGTCACAACGGTGGTGTATGATTTTTAGGGTACTGACCAGGAAGTTTCGGTCCTATGGTCGATAGGAACATGCTGCTTTCCTGGATAGGAGATCAGTTTACATGCAGATGTAATCTTTGATCAGGAAGAATCTACCAACCTTTGGATCAGGACCTAAATGGGACAATATCCTTTCATATCCATCAGCAGTCGCCAAACCTACAAATACCTTCATGACTTCAAGAGCTGTAAAATGGTTAATTAGAATGAAAGAGCGCAGATACGGACATGGGGCGTACGCAATGAAGTTCTGAACTCTATGCATTCGTGACCTTGTTTCCTCAATGCATCCACAGTTTCCAGCACAGCCCGCTTGTTTGCAGGGGATGCTCTGACTACCCCATCTGAAATATATTTTTTCAGTCACCGCAGCCAGGAGTTACTGCGACACTAACCATATGTATAATATCCAAAACGCAGCTTGGTGGGTAACAACACTTCACGGTATGGCAGTGGAGCAGTTTGGTTGGAGGGGTCTTGCTGTCCGAAGATTGTCCGACAAAATAGCTCGCAGTCTTGCACAGAACTATATCGCGTAATAGATGTCAATTGGACTCGTCGGAACAAAACTGTAGACATTATATCCTACCGAGCCATAGGGCCAAAGCTCGTTCGAACTGCTTCATATCCTGGGTTGGGGCCTGAAGAAAATGATGGGTAAATTCGAAAACGCGTCAGTAGTAATAGTCAACTGCTCGCCTACACATCCATATCCGCTGACGCGCTCATAGACAGGTTTGAAAGAATAGATCCCACAATATGACGCGGGTATACGGAGACTACCGCCAATATCTGAACCTATACCAAGAGCGGAGCCACCCAATGCCAATAATGCAGCCTCTGTGACAAAATAAGAAATCACCATTGCGGATTCCGACTATAACTTACCTCCCCCAGAGCTACCTCCACAGGTATAATTATTGTTCCAAGGGTTAGTAGTGCAACCCCAAAGCGGATTACAGCATTCAAAAGCAAACATTGTCTGAGGGACGTTTGTTTTTACAATAATGATGGCACCGGCTGCACGAAACCGCGACACTAACTACGGGAAAACCAGTTAGCGTGTCATTTGTACACGAAGCAGAAGACGAACAAATGCATCTTTTTCACGAGGTTTATTCGCCCACTGCGTAAATCCAATGGTTGAGTCGTACCCAGTGATACTGTCTACAAAGTCATACAACTATCAAGGGGCTGTACGAATCAAAAGCCTGTGACATACATTGATCCTTGAAGCTGACTGGAACACCGTGTAGTGGGCCGCGTAATAGCCCCGTTGTTGCAAACTCCTTGTCTATTGCCCAAGCTTCTTTCCTGGCTTCTTCAAATAGCACTGGCGAACGAAAATTGGTTTATCTTGCCACACACACTGAATGTTTACTCACCCTCCGTAAGACAGTTAGTTGCTGCTTGCGCAACCGCTGCACGTGCGATATACGCCTCCAATACTTTGGATGCAGTCCACTCGCCCTTTGCAATGCGATCAACTATGTCAGTGGCTAGACGTCCACAATTGCTCAATCAACGCATTGAATCCCAGCAACAATTGTATAACATACCATTCGCATTCAAGTATAAGTCATGTTGCTCTGACACGTACGGACTTGCGGAAGACAACGCTTTCTCCCGCAACGCTCTCTTGGACGTTATAACGTGTTGGTTACGATTGCCCATGTCAAACGAGCGATATATGTCCAAAGTCGACGGTTTTATTGGAAAAGGGAAAGTATATGAGTGTCAGTATTGCTGGAGTGTCGTGCCACATTCGAATTCTGCTAATGCGATTATAGCTCGGCTTCTATTATACCGCAGCGCCGGACATCATCTCTATTACCGTTCTTGAAGTGCTGCCATCAAAGCCGTTCGTACTTAAAAGGGTCAAACGATATCCAGATTGCTCTACATTTGATTGGCTTGCCACCATCTGATCAATACACAGCGATTCTGAAAGACCATCAAACAAATAGCACATGTTATTTTCACGTTTGACCCCTCGAATCTCCCAGCATCAAGGGATGCCATCCTGATCGCCCCAAAGCATATCTCGAACTACCAGATCCATTTCGCGCGTCTCCAGAATTTTCACAAGTCTTTCTATCATTTCTATTTTGGTACCGGAAGCAACTATGGCTGTGTTGAATTTGGCGTGGGCCGCCAGGTTCCTAGCTAAGGCCGCTTCAGACAGCTGTGCGCAGACGGACGAGTCGACAATCAAAGGAGCGCGAGGGTTGATCATATATTTGGATTGAAGATCTGAGCAAGAAGGTTTCATTAGAGCACAAAAGAGAAAGGGACCATGTAGCTTCGGCGCACTGTCGATGTACTCTTCGCAGCAAACGGGTATTTCGATGTCAACGACACGATTATCCTTGCATATTACAAGAGCCAAGCGCCGCAAACCGGACATGTCAATCCCAGTGTCGAAAAGAGACAAGAATGATAAGCTAAGAAAGATTTCAAGAACAGGAATCGCATCGTTATTGATTTTTGGATTGAATGCAAGGTAAAGATGCGTGAGCGTTTGTTTTAGACCTGTAAGCAAGAATATCCTGAGGAGGGAAATAGCCAGTGTCATGTGCAGAAGAGTTTAAACCAGAGATGTACAAACGCTTCGTTTCCTATGCCAGTGCTTTCCAGAAGAAGCTTTCGCAAATTTGACAGACGTTGAATGTGAACAAGATCGGAATCCCGCAAGGAGGTGCCGCTAAGACACAACTCGGACAGGAATCGAAAGCTATGAGGCTGGTCTAACACTGGGTGGACCGATCAAAGTTGATAACCTAGATATTAAGAGCGAGTTACCTCGTAACACGTCTTGTCCTGAGAGATTAAGTCCGCCTTCGTTATTCATCGAAGAGGATAAATCGAGACAATATACGGTTGACGCTCTCAGTACATTTAAGACACGTTCACTAAGATACCCTGGAAACACGTCACTACAACATTTTACATTGTGGCTGAGATGCCTACCATTGCTTGCAAGCACATTTGCGATTTTCTGATGTGTCAAATTCTTCATGGAATGTAACTTCTGGAGGATGTCTATACCGATTTGAGAATACAAACGAGCAGTGAGAAATGGTATCTGTTCAGGAATGTCTTCGCCGATGAATGGGCCGTAAACAGTTTCTGCATCCGCATACAGTCAGTGATTAAGTTCTCCTAAAGGTGGGGCATGACATAGTTCCAAACCAAATAAAAATATACGAATAATAAGAAAGGTGTGACACCTTTGAGATCTCTGAGCTGAAGTTTGATTTCCGCAATGGGGTCGGACGTAGATCCAGTCAAGCCAGGTCCCTGCTGTTTCTCGGGCATCATAAAATCAAAGGATTCGTCGTCGTAACTTAAAGAAGAAGCAAATAGACGTTTTCTTTCAGAGGCTTCGAACGAGATATTCTGATCGTCTTCTGAAGATTTTGTGCGTTTGAAAGGCCTAGGATGGTCACCTATAGCTGACGACGACCTCGTTCGCTTTGGTGGACGCATGGCAAGTTGGTTATTGAAAGACATTCTGTGGCGTTGAGAAACAACTAGTGCGCTTTGATATTTCGATGCATGTTTTCGAGATTGTACCCAAGGAGAACGAGACGACGGACTGCCAGAGACGGAAGACCTGGCGGGCGTACTTGCGCAAACGTAAGGAAATGAGGCAACTTGATGCTGTTTTGTGGAGGTGAGATTCAGTTTCCAAGCGAAGAGAGAATTTTCTTGAAAGAGCGAAAAGGTATTAGACTGCAGCGACCGCCGCAATGTCGCCAAGTAGGCCGTAGGAGAGACCGTTGGACAATAAAATGGATTTTCGTTGTCTATCGTGGGCAGGTGTTGTTCGGCCATGGATTTCAAACAAGTGCGAGGAATACACACAAAAATTTATGATGGATGAAAGCAGGTTTCAGGAAATCGTGATAGGTGGCGCAGAGGAGAAACTATGCTCATGGCTCTCTTCCAGTTTCATGTCGGACTTCGGACCTCTGCGCATACATGTACTTCTGTAGAAATTTCAATGCGTAGCTTTCCGCGTAGTCTGATACATGCTTCTATATACTAAAACGCCCACCAATTGTGTCCATGTGCCACGATTATGCCAGATGTAGTTTACCAATCTAATGCTGTAACCCCGATAACAGGCTAAGGTAAAGGGAATTATGAAAAACCAAGTTCGGGAGATATTAAATGATTCTGAATTAAGACATGAGTTGCTTCAGTGCAGCAACATGAGCTTCCCGCTTCTTCACGAGATCAGCGTGCGAGACATAAGGTCGGAGTTCAGCCTCGAGCTGTAGCGGTGACCGTCAATTAAGGAAGCTGCCATGGAACGGGATGAACTGACCTGCAAAAGCTTGTCGGCTTGCCACATCCGCGTTGGCAGGTTCTCCAGAGCAACGTATACAGCAGGTATAGATTCGCATTTCAACAGCTCTTGTTCGTTGCTGCGCAGAATACCTAGTGCAACGCGGAAGAGAACATCTAGACCATCAACTAGAAAAACGTCCCAAACTCTAAAGAGGGTCTACAGCATCGGATTAGTTAAGGTTTAGATCCAGGAATTTCAAGATCTCACCTCCACAGGAAGGCAATCCGTGAATAACGAAAGGAACCATGAAAAACATATTGCAGGAAGATCAACACCAATATTTGTCAGGTGTCCGTATAGCTTTGGAGTGAATTCTTGGACAAAGTCAAGTAGAACCAGAGGGCATGCGCGAGAAGGAAGAAGGGATGGGGAGAAAAAGTCTTCGGGCAATATCCGCTCAACGATGGCACAAAGCACCCAGAACGCCTCTTCCTCGTCAGCGTGAACGAGTAAAAGAGTGGAGGTCACCAAGTTCATCCCTTGACAATATCCGACGGACGGGTTACGGCTGAAGTACAACATGTTAATCCCACTGCTGTCTATCACAGCAACGATAAGATCTCACCGACTATATGCTGTCAATACTCTTCGAAGCTTGTCGACGCCAGCGCCATCGCCTCCAAAGAATATGTTGAGAGGCATCGTTCTTCCGACGTCTTTCTCAATCTCCATGGGAACATGTTCTTGAATGCTGGCCTGAGCAAGTAAATCCCTAAATATCCCTGGTTCTCTCATGTCCAAACCACCACTACACTCAAGCCAGACCTTGGATCGATAAACCAGAGGAATACCACTTCTAACCAATCTATCAAATTCTTTGCGTTCATCCCTATTGGACGAAAGTCCAAGCTGCGCAAATCCGATAAGTCCTTCTGTATGCGCTAACTCTTCATCTTCGACAGCAGTACCCAATCCAAGGAGCGCAGCAGCACCACCTCCAGCTGAGGATGACGCGACGGCCGTGGATGCCTTCGACGTCTTTACTTTACTTCGTCGCCTAACAAATGTGTCCCACTCCTTCCGCTGTGCACTCTGTCGCTGGTCATGTATCTTAGTCAAATCATCGAGAAAGCGACGAATTAGGTTTGCACACGCATGACGAGGTGTGCTTGACGTTACAGCCAGTACTGAAGTACTGGAAGCTGCCCGTCCGGACGTCGGAGGCGGTGCGGATGATGTGATCGTTGAAGAGCGGGTCCGACTTCGCGAAGATGATGGAGAAACTCCGCGAGATCTTCGACCTGATGTAACACTGTCGGAGGTTGGTGGTGAAACAGATGATGGTGATCTTCCAACGGTAACTGCAGGGGCATCCTTGCCGTCACAATCACATGTTTCTTTGACTATGTGTATGACATTCTTCTGACCATCGTCGTCTTCGTCCGACCAACTATTACTTTCTTTGCGATCAGCGATTTTGACACCTGTTAGGCATGCGGGTGCAGTGTTGCCACAGTCCTTCGCCCGTAGGAGTAAAAGCACGTCGTACTGAGAAACATCATAGATAAACCCGTAGCGATCAGTAAGAGGCTGTTGATTCTCATCCCCATATTGAACGTTGAATCGTGATGCAGCATTAGGTAGAGGTATGCTGAAGTGGAAATCGGGAGCCGTGAGAGCTGTGTAAGTCCGTGAGAGATATTGTGTCGGAGGTTGAGCAGTAGCAGGAATTATAGACTCCAGTGGCACCGAACCAGGCTTGTTGGCAGGAGGTGCCGGTGGAACAGGACTGTTGTTTATTCGTGCATTAGACGAAGGAGAATCGCGGATGGCAGAATTCTTCACAGTGGAATCAGTATTGTTCGGCTGCTTCCTTTGCTGCTGTTGCATGAAAGATCCGAACATGGGTGAACTGAAAGGAGAGGCCATGATTGCCGCTGTCCGGGATTTTGTCTTCCGCATAACATCGCCTTGGGCCACTAGAGTGCGGCTGAGAGATGTCGTGGCATCAGACCCTTCAGTGGGGCTCAAAGTAGCTCGACGACCTGGTTGTTCCGAGCTCTCTACCCGGTGACCCAACTTGCTGTCCTTTCTCTCTTTTGGCCGCTCGCGATAATTTACGCCGTCGTCCCGAGCATTCTGGACAAGTTCAAGAGCTAGCTTCGCGATCAATGGACTGATATCCTGCCCGTGGTCAACCAGGATACTGCCAGGATCAGACGTCATAACACGAGTGGCATGAGCTATCGCCCGCAAAGATGCACCTTGAAGAGATTTATCCCCTACCACGGAAGAGGACAAGATCGATGCTTCAGAAACGTGCTCGGGACTTTCTGAGGTTGTAGTTAATTGAGGAGCAATTGGAGCAGACGATAATGTACTGAAGACGGGAGAAGAACTGGCCGAAAATGCGCTCGGCTCCTCTGGAGGAGGCATCAGGATTGATACGTCCGTGACTGATTTAGCATGACGCTTATGTCTCGCAGTGTTGGAAGTAGTCGGGTTCAGTACAGATATACCAAGCGTTCCGAAGACACTTCTTCCAGCCTTTTTGCGGGCGGTACGACTTGTTGACTCAGAGGGCAGTGTGGCAACTGTATCGCTCTCTGGAGTGGGAGACGATCCTCGAGAACTATCTTTTCCAGAAATCTCCGTGTCTTCCTTCACTGGTTGTACAGACGGTGCACGACCAGGTTTGTATTTACCTCTGCCCCACCATGTTCCCATCCAGTCCCCAATAGACGGTTTATCGTTTTTATGAGGCACTGCTGAGGGAGCATCAACATCATGAATATTAGGAGCTGGCGCCTCCGATGTGAAGAATGCTGAATCAGTGACGTCAGAACTGGATGGAACAGTTTCCTCGATGTGATTGATGGCAATGTGTGAATCATCAAGAATGGCGGATTCGTTGGCATGCGACGAGGCAGGAAGGACGGGTAGGGTGGCAATGCCAACTTTAACATTGGGAGATAATGTGACCTGATCTGCAATAGCTTCCGTTAAAGATGACTGTATTGACTGTGGAACGTGAGTCCATAATAATTCATGTTTATATAAGGAACGTACCGCCATGCTTTCCTGACGTTGCACTTTGTGTTGGCGTTCGTCGTCGTCTGTGAAAATAGATTGTATTACACGTCTTGCAACATCTCGCTCAGAGGCATGAAGTTCTTTGAGGAGTTCCTCTGCTCGCTTTTTTCGCGCATCTTCTTTTTCCTGTAGTAATCTTCTATCTTCCTCAAGCTCTAACCTGGCGTGGGTGAGGTTATGCAAAGCAGAGGATAGTACGCGCAATGCTGAATGGTATGGGTGATTATGGACATCAGAAGGCGATTCGGTAATGCTTAGTCTAGATATTGCTGATTGAATGGCTTCGTCTGAGTACTCGTGCCATTTTGTGGCAAGTACTTGTGCGGCGACCGAAGATGAAGGTGGTGGCGGACCAGAATCATTGCGAGTGACATCAGGTCTGTGATTAGCATTGGGAGGTGCAAGGAAATGTGTATCGTAAGCCTGGCCAACCACAAAGAAAGGAGTATGTCGAGGTGCAGGTCTATCCCAGAGCACAGACAAAGAGCTGGAGGACTGCTTGCGTTCTGCTGAGCGCCCGTCTATGGAGCTCTTTCTGTTGGTCTTACTGTAACCTCTAACACTGCCGTCCCAATTAGCATGGCTTTCCTTGCTGTCTGGTTCTGAAAGTTTTTCTAGCTGTGCCTTCAACGTAAAGTAATTCGCGGATGGCCTTGCATCTTCTGCATCCTGGTTACCACGCGTTTTTCGACCACGGGAGGGAAACTCTTCAGGGGAAAGTGGATGCGAATGCACAGGCGTGGTGGCATGAAGCAACGGGGAAGACATAATGCCAGTTTACTGGAGACACTGAAGCATGCTATCGCTGTATAGACTAAGTTGTCTCTGTTGCCGTTGACACTAGTACTGGCCACGATCCTCAACCGCGCGCTTTACACGATTCAGTAGGCGCGTCACCATAGGGCCAACCGTGCGAAGTGCCACGTGCAGGCAAGTGAGGTAAGCCCACTTCCCGGCCAAGTCCGAACCGGGAGTCTCAGCCTGCAGTATCTCTTTCCATCCGTCGCAATGGGCTGGTTTGGTGGATCCAAGTCTGAACAAGCCACTCCTGTATCCAGGGAAAACAGGCAAAAGTGTTGGGAAACCAGGGATGCGTATTTTGAATGTCTAGACCGTGTCGGAGTGCTCAAGGCTGGCGAAGAGGGTAAAGCATGTGCAAAAGAAAACACTCTGTACGAAGAAAATTGTGCCAAGAGCTGGGTATATATCTTATCTTCTATCACTCTTATCATGGACAATCAGTCTGATGAACTTACACCACCAGATCGAGTACTTCAACAAACGTCGAATCCTTGCCGAGCAGCAAAAAGACATGCTTGCTCAAGCAAAAGTCCAAAGTCAGGAGGCCCGACGGGCGAATTCATGATAGTACTCTCTCCTGTAACCGTGTTCTCACAAGTGTAGAAGTGCGCCGCATTATGAACGTCCGTTTGATTTGCTTAGCCATGACTGATTTGTATGTATAGCTCTTTAATCCAGTACTACTTTTGCTCCACCCCTCTTCTCTTTTGGTTAGGCCTCGTGGGCTGAACATCTGGTTGCGCATCTTCCCTGGCAGGATCTTCATCACGGGGATCATCAGCTGATTCGGAGTGTCCGGTGTTTCACTTCCCGCGCCTGTTATCTCTCTGTGTAGACTGTGGTTTAGTTATTCCCTCGCATCACTGTCTTTTGGTCCAGCTGCATCCCTGTCGGGCTTGCGTTCTTTCTCCTGTAAGTCACCCCCCGGATCTCCTGTGTTGACTTTCGTTTCCCCCCAAGTGTCCCATCATCATTCTAGTCACGAATTCTCCGCCACAGTTACGAAATACACACAGCAGTCTAAGAAAAGCCCGTGGACTTTGCGCTGATTGCCTACCCAAACAGCGAAGTGACAGCCATGACTCACTCTTTGGCGTGTGAGTGGAAAAGAAATAATATTGCTGATACTGCCTCTGGGTCATCATGATGCACACACATCGGATTCCATTATGAAAGCATACAATCAAAAACTACCGGTTGCGTAACGTCTGTGCAGACTTGTTGATAACCACTGAAGCTGAGGTTCCGCTGCTTTGCTGTTCGTTATTACGTTTGTTTCAGTTTCATCGCCATATCGATGAACGCGCTAAGATGATTTCAGGTTTTAAGCTTCGTCTTTATTGTCCTCGGAGAGAAAACGGTGGATGCTATATCATGATTCATGCATGATTCCTGCACTGAGTCTCACTTGGAAAATTTAGCCCATTACATATGACATGGATATAGATGTGGACAGCTACCCAATTCGGGAGTGACCCGAGGGGCAACTCCCGACCCGACGGGCTGAAGTAACACCGCGGTGACTCTGCTTCTGGCAGACCGCAAAGCCACACCAAAAGGAAACGCTGGTTTCCCGCAGAAGCGTAGCGCACATAGGAAGGTAGGACAGATGACTCTTGAGATAAACCACCACAGTCAGGTGCTGCACCGTCGGGTCTATGACAGCAATCAGTGCTTGATCTGTTCTTGAAATGATCTTTGGGTCATCCCTGGCGCACTGATAGCGCGCTGCTCGGGCGAACAGGTTGTCACGCTTTCTCTTTTCTCGCACATGTCTTGGTTCTATCAGCCCGAGAGGGCTCGTATCAAATCGTCAGAGCTCTATACAGTCATCTGGATTGCCACAACCTGAATCACTGGCAGTTCCTTCTTTATTTGGTACGCGCGCCTTTGCACCGAAGGATCTTGCACCGGTTCGTTATCATCAGTTTCTATCTTTGTTTTTCCCACTAAAGCTCCCAGAGGCGAGAAGCATTGTAGTACAAATCAGTGTGATCTTATGATATCTGAACTTGAAATACAGGTACATATAGCTTACCCCGGCTAAACCGAAGATACCACTCATCAACTCATCTGGTGAGACATGTCCTGGTTAAAATCTAGAGACTGGTCCTCTGGCATAGAGTACTCAAATCTATTTCATTCCGGTCTCCGAGCAATCTCATTACGTCCTCGCGCCAGGCGCAACTCCAGCATTCTCTCGTCTTCCCCAGAGAAACCATCTAGACGCTCATCCGTGATTTCGTTTTCCTCACGATTTTTGAAACGAAGTGACTCTTCAGTGAAGAGTTCGCCGTGCAATACGCCTGAAGTTATCTCTCATGCCCCGCGATCTGAAAAGGCCTTGCGTCCAAGACCTTCGTCAATGTTCATACGCGGGACGAAAGACCTTGCTGAACAACTTTGGGTGGCGGGAGGGAATGTCTTTTCCTCTTATGACGTGAAAAATTATGTGTACGCTATGTTTCTCCACTATACTTTCGACTTGGGGCGCTGATAAAAACAATCAGCCCACGAAATTCTCCACCGAATCTCGAATCCATTGACCCATTCTCATCATCACCTGGCTCCAGGTCTTTCTTTGTGAGTCTGAGTGACTCCACCTCATCTCCAAAAGGGGAGTCGTTCCTGTCTCTATCTTCGACTTCTCCGGCGCCCGACGGCCTTTACCACCCTCTTCCCCTTCGCGAACGGCCTATCTCCATCCAAACGATGCCCCTCCCATCGCGGAGGTCCTCTATCCAGTATCGACCTGTCGACACATGGGAGAGATTTGATGCTGCATGGATGCTCGAAGAATCTAGTCCATCCTTGGACCCACAAGAAGATGAGGGTGGCATCGAAGTGTTGAATCTGAATGGTGATGACGACTGGCGCCAATTTCATGTTGATTGGCTACAAAACGGACCCGGTTTCCAAATTTCTCGCGACGTGTAATGAACCATCCTCTGATTTTCATTTTCTCCTTTGTGTATGTCATAGTTGTATTTCTGCGATGATTCCTAGCCATGTTTTTGATAAGATTTTTGTCACGTATTTACTTTACCGACGAGTATCATTAGTTTGAGACGATCCATATTCGCTAGACTTTCTATTTCTATATTTTGCCTTGACCTGGTCAAGGCAAAACCATTTCATAGTACTACTAGTGTTGATATTACCACCAGGCCGCTGCGCGCCATTAATATGTTTCTTTCTTACCATTGGATATGTACGCTACTCTATCCTTGTATTTGCAAAATGCAAAACACGCCAAGTTTTTTGCATCCAATTGCAGAGTGTCCGAGTCTTTTAACTGCTGTGATTGCCAAATTGGTGTATTTTACGTAATTTTTACAGGTTGTGCAAAGATAAGCAAACATCGCTGCGGGCGATACCCGACCGTGACGGACGCTGTCTTACACGACGACGACGAAGGTTAGCTCATCGCGCGGGCCATCCGAGCCTTGGTCACTAACAATGTATTCACGTTTCAAGGGTTATCCTTAGCATTCTCACAGTGCTATTGCCAGGCTCATCAGCTGTACATTGTTGCAGCGCACGCTACTCCCTCATTTCAGGTAACCCATCAAGCGCTTTACTTTGTCCTGTGCCCTCGACAGCCTCGTATCATATCAACATACCCTCATTACCGTGCAGTGCCTGCTGTGTCTTTAAAACACCTGTTCTGCTCCTGAACCCTCATCCAATATGCCTCTCAAGTACTCCCACGTCAAGAAAAGGTCTGCGTCTGGTCTCATGAAGAAGACTACCAACAACGGCCATGGAGCAAGAGATGGCCATCAACGTCAATCCATTTCTTCCCATGTCGATCGTTCTATCACCCAAGCGATGGCAGCTGTATCGCAGCTCGAGCGTGCCATTGCTCGCATTTTTCTCAAACGCTACGAACATGACATCGCGCGTCTTTTCTCGACGCACCTCTTCAGCGTTGCTCTCGTTCATCTTCCTACACTTGCCATGCGCTGCATAAGTATAGGCGGCCCAGGGTGGGTCGCTTACAACGCCGATTGCGAGGAAATCAAGGATTTCTTCCGTTTGGCTATCAGCATGGACATGAGGCAGGCTGGTGAACGCGTGGCAACCAAGAGCGTTTTGTGGTCTTATACCGCGCTACGAGATTTTGTACGATACCATCTCATTTTGTTTCTCTTTTGCTGACCCTTGTGAGTAGGCACTGTCCAATAATGTACATGTCTGTCAAAGACGTGGCCTTCATTCATTGCGCCTATTACCACATTACCCTGCCCTGAAAGCTCATCTCGATCAGCTTGAGTCGATGCCCACCCCTACCTTTTCAAAACCCCCTCATCTCGGGCCTCTCACAGAAGGCCTGGATGCACTTGAAGAAGCATGCCAGCTAAAGTATGGAGATCAAGTGACTTCAAAATCCCATGGTGCGTCTGATTGGGACGATAATTGGCGCCTCAAAGTACGACTAGGCTATGAAAGGCTATGCCAGACATTATGGCGTGTAGCACGAGAATTTGATGTCCGCGGGTACGGAATGGTTTTGCGAGAGAAGTTGACAGCTAAGTGGTGTGATTGTGGCTGTTCAACTGATCATCTTGGAGAAGTTTGTGAGAAGACTGTAAGAGAAGATGAAGAGAGCAGTGGCATAAGACCAGGCAAACAGAGAGAGTGGGATGGTCGAGGCATGTCACGTCTATGATTGTTTTCACCGTAAAATTTACATCCACCAGGGAGCGGTATTTACGGATGGGAAACAGAGGAAGAAGAGGACATATGGGAGATGGATCTGGATTTCGGTTCAAGTGATTCAGATGAAGAAGATGCCTGCTCGAATTCCGAAATGACTATAGGAGAGATGATGGAATGGCGTTATTTCGCTGCTGAAAAGGAGAAAGAGCTGGCAAGTCCATAATATCATGTTTTGCATTCAAATAATTAAAGGACCAACAGGGTAATGCCGCCTTTCGGCAAGGTGATTACAATCGTGCCGTCAAGCATTACGAGGTTGCGCATGATATGGAACCTGAGATGCCTCACTATCAGCTGAACATTGCAGCTGCGCAATTAAAACTTAACAAGTACGTTTTATGATATCAATTGAGCTGGAGACATAATCTTATTCCTATTCAGTTGGATGGAGGCCGAAATAGCATGTACAAGAGCCTTAGGTCAACACCGTAGTGGTAAAGGGTATTATCGACGTGCCAAAGCAAGAAAGATGATGGGAAATACTGAAGAAGCCACGAAAGGTATTGTTCAAGCAGTCAACCTTCATTACCTTTTACTCACAAATGTCTCAGATCTACGTGCAGTGTTGAAGCTGCAGCCCTGCAATACTGAGGCAAATGCGGAGTTGTGGTCCCTCATACCCCCTGAACCAACAGTGTCTGCGTCATCATCTTCCTACGCCACCTCTTCGTCTTTAAATAACGCCTCTCTACGTCCGCTTGCCCTATCAAATTACAGCCATTTGCGAGTGCCAAAATCGAAGTTCAAACAACCGCCCTTTTCGCGTACGAAGGGAGATGACCGAAAAATCAAAATTGTCTTGCTGCCAACAACGGTAGAACTTGCCTCATCACGATCACCGTGTGGTAACCGGGCCAAAGCGAAAAGAAAGGCGGAAGGAACGGACGTAAAGACAGAGACTTTCGCGGTCCCGAACTGGGAGAAGTATGTGATCCGTCAAGTTGCCGATTGATATGGCAGAGCAGACGTGCAACTATAGTTGGTGTTGAGATTGGAACATAGTCTGTCTATCTTGGCGCTGCGCCACTGGTTCAAAGACTGCTAAGATCTAACCTTACTTTCCACGCAGATGTAATCGTGTATGAATTTGATATAAAATGATGAAGCATTTTTCCTTGCACCGCTCGAGATTGGGAAGCCGGTTACCATTATACACCGACAAAAAGGTCCGTATACACTTCTATCTCATCCTCGACCATTCATTGCGCGTGAATAGCCGGTCCATCTATACACACCAAACTCGCATGACGCGGGCAACTTGGGGACTTTCCGACACGCATGCTGATCTATGTTGTCATTTGCCAATTCGCCGTGCATTTAAACCCAACTGACAGAGGCCTCCGATTCTAACTTATTCACCCTCTTTCCCTTATTTTCCAGCTGTCACAGATGGACTACGCCGCGATGAAGACTCCAACGTGTTATCGGAGGGTCGACGCGCACATACCGTCTGCCACGCTAGGTTGGAACTTGAGCGCATGGTGCTACTTACCATCCGACGGATCGAATGCGTCACCCGTGATCATCATGTATGCATGCTATCCCCTGAATGATGTGTACGCGAGGATTCTGACTAGGGCTTGGACTCGTAGGGGTCATGGGTTATCGTGCACCAAAGCCATGCAGCTCGAACCTTTTGCAAAAGTATTTGCTGCTGCCGGATATGCATGCATTGTGTTTGACTATCGTCGATGGGGAAATTCCGGTCAGACTCGATTATCGGTACTGTGAAAAGTGACGCTTGCTGACGACCTAGATCCTCCCCAATTTTCTCTAAAGATGGTACACCTCGTCATTGTGTTTCTAGTAAGGAACAAGTGGAGGACTATACGAGCGTCGTCACCTACTGCAAGACAAGTCACGAGTTCAACCGGCGTCCTATTGTCCTGTGGGGTTTTAGTGCAGCCGGTTTGTGGTACTATTTTGGGTGTTCATGTGGTTTTTCACTGATACGCCTTCAGGGGCTCACTGTTTGACACTTGCCGCAGAGGTAACATTTCCCATGTCTTGGGCTCGCATCTTTTGACCTCATCACCCACTCCCAAAACAATTTCCCTATCTGAAACCGAAAAACAGAAACAGTTTGACGTGTCCTCCATAATTGTGTGTGCACCGCATACTCGGCCTCATTTGGAACTATCGTTGTGTTGGTGGTATGTCCAGATGATGGTTTTGGTGTTTGTTGATTCTATCAGACGAGTGTTGAATTTGTCTCCATTGTACGTTCCGGCTTATGCACGTCCGGGGAAAATCGGCTTTTTGAACGCACCAGGTGCGTATGAGGGATTCCAGAGCATCATTCTGTCACCAGGGTAAGTGGCAGCGATTATCTTGTTCTAAAGATACGGACTAGAAGCTCATCCCATCCTCCTTCCTTCTCCCTTCCTCAGCGATCATATCAATCAAGTAAGCAAACACCCCAAAAAAAAACACACATCAGTGGATAATCCCAGCTCCCGGCCCACCCTTATCTCCCTTTTTATTGTTTTATTAATTCATGGTTTCTCCAGGTTTCCGCGTCCAGTTTCTTGGAGCCCGTTTTTTGCAGGCCGTACGACACCGCGGCTTCTATCTCGCGTCCGGCTCTCGTCATCGCTGCAGAGAGAGACAACGTCTGCTCTTTCCCCGATATGCTCTCCATGGCTGAGACGATGCCGGCGGGCGAGGTGGTGGTGGTGTCTGGAGGTAAGCATGATGCTCTCTGTGTGGTCCCTTTTTGTGCGTGCGACTCTGATATGGTTCAATGCTGATTATATAAAATGTTTTCAAAAAAAAAACAGACAAAAAAAAAAATGGTGCTGCTGTTGATGGCGCTGAACGTTGAACTTTAGGCCATTTTGAGATGCTTCCGGGGAACGAGTCCTACGATGTATCGCTGAAGGCGCAGTTGGAATTCTTGAAAAGAACGACGGCGCTGAAGAGGGGATGAGCGTGAGGGGGTGGGACGTGTTGGAGCTTTTGCGTTTTTTTTTTTTGGGGGGGGCTGTTGTTTGTGTTGTTGTTGTATGATATACTTGGGATGAATGGGTTGTTATTTATGTTATAACTTGAAGGGGGGGGGTCGTTACTTTGCTGGTCTTTGAAAAGTCATTTTTGTACGAGCTTTCTATTGTGTTGTGGTATATATGTCAATTTCATGGAATGGTTGCGGTGTGGTGGTCGCACACAACACAGACACTGTATGTACATGTACACACAGTGAACGTCAATTTGCAGGGTAAATTATGTATGTGAATCGCGGGGTCTCAAAACCTTTTGTCTAATGAAGCGACGCACGGTGCCCGGTTAGTTGTTCCGAAGGGCCCTGGGACCTTTCACTTCACTGTGATTTTTTTAATGGGATATTGTGTTCGCTGGAAACCCCCGACGCGACTCGGACTCATCCAACTTGAACGTTCTTGAACTCTCGAACGAGCAGACGTCCGGTCTAAGCCCTCGCAATGAATGGGCGAGTTCAGCGTCGTGGCTGATGCGCATGTTTGAGTATGGTCGCTAAAAGCCCCGTCAACGTTCATGTGCAGCCATGTTCTCGCAAATGAATGTTTTTAACGTCGTACGAGCGCAAGGTGAGTCGAAGATGGCAGTGAATCGTGCGGGTGCCAGTCGGTGTTTAGGCTCAGGTTTCAGGTTTTGGACGATGGCGGCCTGATAAGTTCACGTTTTGGCTACGAGGTTTCCCGAGGACATAGGCTTCCTCAGGCTGTCGCTCCGTCTATCACGGCCGCGAAACATGCGACTGTTTTTCGTGGAGAGAACGAAGATGGGGTATTGTGATGGGTCTTACGTGTTGTGAAATGTCAGTGCGGGGGGTCCAGGTAGTTTGACCATAGTTAGTGGGCAGGGACTGCAGCGATGCTGCCAAAGGAGCTAATCAATGATCGAGTTGATTTGGACGCAAGTTTGAGCGTTTCGTCTGATATAAATACCCTTCTGTGCTGAAACAGACAGGCTTAGGGATTAAGGGACCTAGTTTTTATGGCTCTTTATTTTTCGCGTTGGTGGACGCATGTCAGCAAGGTGAAGATTAATAAGGAAGCCGCTGATAATCTGATGCATTCTGTGTGGAAATTAAGAAAAGTATGCGACGTCGAACAGTGATGTGCGGTGGAGGCTGAGTTGAGAGTGCTGTCGGGTGGAGGGTTGAGTGGTAATATATAGATACGGTGTGGCAGGACTGGTGCCGTAAATTGTGGTTGACAAGCATGCCAGTGACCCTCAAAATACAGGCACGTCAATTTGCTTTCTGTGTGAGTGTGGCTGAGGAGGGTGTGAGTGCGGGTGCGAGTGCCAGGATGTCCGAGATCTGAGATCTGAGAGTGGGTAGTTCCGATGACGTATGGGATGTTCACATGTGTCATGCAACCCTAGATTTGGTTTCAATGACCCCGGATGATGGAATGATGTCATGGTCGCCATCGGACCTGAGAGGTTTGGTTAAGCGGGAGATGCCGATGTTGGCCGAGTATATGTACAGAGTCGACGATTTCTGTGATTGAGGACTACCCAAGACATTCCGACATGCGCGGCAAATAAGTGGAACCCGTTTTGACCATGTGCCATCGCGTCTATCAGTAAACGTTGGAACGTACAGGTTCCCATCAACACCAGGTGGAGTCCCCTTGATTTTCAGTCCGTTATAGTATCTTGTCTTTTTCTTCTTATTTAGCACCCCCCTTTCCCCTTCCTTCTCCCTATCTCTCCAATCATGTCCAGTCCTAAAGATGCTCCAATCCATGAGAAACAACTCGAGCTTGCTGACGACATCTCCCAGGAAGTTCAGGCAGAGGGCGTCGGCAGAGAATACGAACTCAAGTGTGGTCTCAGTCAGTCTGCCGCTCTTATTTTACCATCCCCACATTGACACCCCCCAAAGTCAACCGCTGTTTCCAGGAAGAGTGAGTCCCGTGGTGTTCTCGACTCTCACCATCATATCCAACCCCACTGCAGGATCGGCTTTGGCATATACCAAAAGCAACTATTTGTATTGACCGGTCTCGGTTGGCTAGCAGACAGTGAGTCCTCCTCCTACTTTCTGCCTTGTCTCCAATATCTCATCCCTTCTCCAGATCTGTGGTTACAGGGTCTCGCTGTCGTCCTTCCACAGATACAACAAGAATTTAATCCAAAGGAAGTCGAATATGCCGTCCTCGCTGAGTTTGCTGGCCTCATCGTCGGTGCAACCCTCTGGGGCATCATGGCAGATGTCATCGGCAGAAAATTGTCTTTCAACGTATGTCCATCACACCTTTATATTTGCAATCTATCTCTCAGGCTCTATTTTCCAGATCACGCTCTTTATCGCTGGAGTATTCGGTCTCGCAGCTGGCGGTGCCCCTAATTTTATTGGCTTTTCTTGCCTAGTCGCCTTCATGGGCTTTGGTGTCGGTGGAAAGTGCGTCCATGCGAACATCACCGTGACGAATTACTGAACTCTTATCTCTTACGACCAGCTTACCTGTCGACGGTATGTATACAAGGCATCTCTTCCATCTCCTTCTCTCAGTCTTATCTAGGCGCTCTTTATCTCGAGCACATACCACAATCTCACCAGGTACCCTTTCGTCTATCACACTGCCATCACACGTGATATTCATATTTCTCGATACAGTGGACGCTTACCCTACTCTCTGTCTGGTGGGCCCTTGGGCAGCTTGTTTCCTCTGTTATTGCATGGGGTTTCATTGCTAAATTTTCTTGCGATTCCTCCATACCTGCCGGCCAATGCCCCAAATCTGAGAACATGGGCTGGCGATACACTCTGTACGTTCTCTGGCCCCCCGTCTTTCACTAACTCTCTCTGACAGTTTTGTAGCTATATGTTGTAAGTTGCTTAAGATATTCGATTGTCGCGTGCCATCTCATAAGATATTTATGTACAGGGGTTCTTTGACTCTCCTCATGTTCGTTTGTCGATTCTTTATATTCGACATGCAAGAATCTTCAAAATATCTCGTCGCCCAAGGACGTGACGAAGAAGCCATCAAGGTGTGTATTGCAATTCTCTGTCAACTAGAGACTCATATGGATGTCATCATTTTTATAGGTCCTTGCGCATATCGCTCGACGGAACGGGAAGACTATTACTCTGAAGTTGGAAGATCTGCAAGCTATTTCTGGAGAATATCCTGTGGCTAATACTAAAACGACTGAAAAGTTACAGACCACCATCCGGAACGTGTTTTCTGGCTTGTCTCTGTACGTCCTACCAAGGCCATTCTTTGACGAGAAAATGTCTGAGACGAACCTCATCTAGGTCTCACATCCGACCTCTATTTTCGAGCAAACGTCTAGGTGTCAATACCACTCTTATAATCATAATTTGGGGGTACGCATATCATACACCTATGCTATCTATTTGCTGACACCAGCCTTACCCAATCAACAGCCTAATCGGCCTAGCGTACCCCCTATTCAACGCCTACCTCCCCCTCTACCTCGCCGCCCAAGGCTCCTCCGACGGCTCCTCCGACACCTACGAAACCTACCGCAACTACACCATCATCTCCGTGCTCGGCGTGCCCGGTTCCTTCATCGCGTGTGCGGTGGTGGACTGGACGAGGAAGCCAAGGAGCAGCAGCGGTGGCGGCGGGTTCACGATCGGGGGGAGGAAGCTGTCGTTGGCGGTGTCGACGATGTTGACGGGCGTATTTTTGTTCTTGTTCACGACGAGTAAGACGACGGATGCGGTGCTTGGCTTTTCGTGCGCTTCGTCGCTCACGCAGTAAGTCCATCAAGTCATTAAATCCACTAACGATTCGGTCGTTCATGCCCCTTTTTCTCGTAGAAACGCGGTAAGCTGGGACACTGTCTCTTTTTTCCTGATTGTCGAGTTACTGACTGCTCGTGGGTGCTCATGAAGATGTACGGCGTGCTGTATGCGTACACGCCCGAGGTATTCCCCGCTCCTCATCGCGGCACGGGCGACGCCCTCTGCTCCGCTCTCAACAGAATCGGCGGGTTCATCGCCCCTCTCATCAAAATCGCGACGACGCCAGCGACGGGGACTGTTTCTGCCAACGCAGCGAACGGTCCCGTGTTCGTATCGGCCACTTTGTTCTTGGTGGCAGCTATCCTGACGATGTTGCTCCCCATCGAGGTCAGTCCCCCCACGGTTTTTTTTCTGATCATGTTCAAATTCACATCTAATTGTGTAGACTGCTGGGAGGTCGGCTCTATAATCCAATATCCAGCGCGATGGATATGACTAGCTCCATGCGAGCGCCTCAAGTGACGAATAGAAAAAAGTCGTTTACTTGGGAAGGGGGGTCATGGCGACCATAGTCGTTAATGATCGTCAGTGTTATATGAAAGCACAGTGTGGAGGTGGTGGTGGTTGCAAGTCGTAAGTAGTAGTAGTAGTTAAGGAGGCTAGCGGCATATAATGAATAATGAAAGAAAATTGGAAGAGAAAGATTGTCCCCAAAGTGAATAATGAGAAACACGCAAAAACAAACAAACAATAGATTGACTCGAGGAAAGCGTAATGGTAAGATGATACATACAATCAACTAATGACGAAAACCAAAAAAACGAAAACGAAAGGAAAAGATGGTGATAATCTGATGATATATCCAACGCCAAGCCTCTCATCCTTGATATTGCCAGCATCACCTGAGGACAAGCAACTTGGGGGTTG